CAAGGATTGATATTAAGCCAGCACCAGATTTAATTTGTAAACATGGGCTCTTCTTAGTCTTTCTTGCTCTTTTCAGAGAAAAGCTCTGTTTTCTGATGACATATTTTGAAGAAGTGCTGATTTGTCTTAAGTCAGTTTTACAAGTCACTCCTTATATGAGTTTTATTAATAAGTCACTTTTTATAGCCAAAATCGACCTGCCTATGTGGCAGTTGGGGATCATTGTCCCGCACGTTCCAGCTGATGCTGTCAACAAGGAAACAGTCGAAAATCAATGAATCGAATCCCTTCTGCCTTTCAAGGTCTGCCACACTCAGCCTTCTCCATGTCAAGGCTTCCCAATCTTTTCTTACCTTCTCACCTCTGTTATGGGTCAAATTGTGCGCTCCCTAAAAAGATATGTTGGAGTCCTCTCCCCAAGTACCTCACAATATGACCTCATTTGAAACAGAGTCATTGCAGATGTAATCAGTTGAGATGAGGTCATACTACAGTAGGATGGGACCTAATCCAGTATGGCTGCTGTCCTTATACAAAAAGGAAATGTGGACATATTAATACATGCATACAGTGAGAACAATATGTGAAGGTGAAGGCAGAGCAGTGTGATGCTTCCTCAAGTCTAGAAATGCCAGGCCGGGCGGGGTGGCTCATGCCTGTAATCCTAGCACTCTGGAAGTCCAAGGCGGGCAGATCGCTCAAGGTCAAGAGGTTGAAACCAGCCTGAGCAAGAGCGGGACCCCATCTCTACTAAAAATAGAAAGAAATTAGCCAGACAACTAAAAATATATAGAAAAAATTAGCTGGGCATGGTGGCCCATGCCTGAGTCCCAGCTACTCGGGAGGCTGACGCAGGAGGATCGCCTGAGCCCAGGAGTTTGAGGTTGCTGTGAGCTAGGCTGACACCATGGCACTCTAGCCTGGGCAACAGAGTGAGACTCTGTCTCAAAAAAAAAAAAGTCTAGAAATGCCGAAGATTGCCAGCAAGCCACCAGAGGATGGGGGAGAGGCATGGAACAGATTCTCCCTCACAGCCCTCAAAGGAACCAGTCCTGCTGACCCATTGGTCTTGGACTTCTGGCCTCCAGAACTGTGAGATAATAAATTTGTATTGTTGAAGACACTCAGTTTGTATGTTTTGTTACAGCAGTCCTAGTAAACTAATACAATCTCTCCAGCACTTGTATCAAAAAGCCAGTAATTGCACACTTTCCTTGTACAGTGTTGTACAGTGTTGCCATTCAACCGTTTCCTATGACTCCCCTCTAGTGGCAGGGAATGTGCTTGGTACTTCACTGGCATGCTTTATAACATCCGGCAGGGTGCTGGTCTCTACTCCACATAGTAAGTAAGCACTTGTTGAATTCAACGGTGAATGTCACCAGACAAAGGCAGGGCAAGTTACAGAGAGGGTGGTGGCTGTGTCACCATTACCACTTCTGCTTTGACGTAGCATGAACCAGAGCCCTAAATGAGGCAGAGGTCACTTCTCTTCAAAAGCCAGCTTACCACCCTCTTCTCCAGCAAAGAAAGAAACAAAGAATGGAGAACACTCGCTAGTATCAAGAATCAGATCTGCTGGAGATATTTATAATAAATATAAATAAATATATTTATAATACATATATCTTAGTGGAACTAATAAGGAAAAATACCAAAAGATAAAAGAAAATACAAAATTTTTCTTAATATTGCTATTGCTGTTCTAAAGATATACAATTAAAGATAATTTTTTTCCTTATACTTCTATTTTCTTATATTGTGAAAAGACTAAAAAAGAGAAATAGAGTCCATGTCAAAATATCCCTAACACCATTATTTTCGAAATTAGAAATATTCCTCTTGAGATGGTTGAAAGAAAAAAAAAAAAAGAAATAGCCTAAACATTTAATGATGACTGGTGTGGTTACGCAAATGATGACAGAACAATACAACAAACTGACTTCAAGCTGTTTAAAATTACAAAAATGTGAACTATATTAATATTCTAAAAAGTGTATGTACACAAGTATGTTAAATAAATGTATGCTAAAAAAAGAACTACAACAAGGAAAAACTCCAATATCACTGACCATACCTATAACTTTTAATTCTAAACCTAACATCCCAAGTGTAAACATTTAAAATTTTCAAAATATTTTAAATTTCCTAGCCCATCTCTGTGTGTGTGTGGGGTGTGTGTGTGTATATATAGACACATACACACATATACATACAAATATGTATATGTGTGTATACATGTATATTTATATATGTAAATATACATTTATATATATAAATACAATATATACTTGTCTTTGCTGCTTAGAGTACTAAAATATAGTGCTCTGAATATAAAAATAAGACATTGCGCTTCTCAAGGTAGGTTCTAAAGCCTTAGCTTAAAAAAATAAAAAGACCGTATAAAGCCTACTGTGGATTTTACTACCCATTAAAACTGCTATGAATGAAGGTTTTTGTTTCTCTGGAATATTTTTCCCCGCAAACGCAATGGGGGAAACAAAATCATGTGCCATGTTCTGACTAACCTGCTCAATCCCTGGGATGGTAGTATTTTAAGCTAGTGAGTGAAATAGAATCTATTACATCTTCTAAAAAACTTTAAATATTGCCGTAGAAATCAATATTGAATAAATCTAATGCACATTCTTTAGATATAATTTATTGAATCTTTATGAAACTATTAGATGAGTAGAAATATATTAAATTCCCTTATATTAGATATGCCTTAATTCCAGTGGATCAGGTAGACAGAGACTCAATTCTGTATAAGCTGATCTCTGCTTCAACTGTAACTAAAAAGTTTAAAGACAATTCTACTCTAGCACCATACAGATAACTTTGTAATGAAATCAATTATTTTTTTTACTGTACAAAAAAAGTAACTATTACATTTCTGGCAGCTGCTACTGATATCCACTAAATTTTATGTAGCACAATTCTCTAGGAGAGTCTAGGAATAAAACTAATTTTATATCCTTAATTACTATTTTATATATTTCCTATATATTACACTATAAACCAACTAAAATAATGTCTAGTAACAGATGGATGAAAGGCCAAAGAGAAAGACTAATATGAAAGACCCTATTGATGTTTGCTTAATTGCAGGGTCAATGTATTCCAAGCTTTTTGTTGAAATTATTAACAATTCAGTAAAGATGTATGCTGACAAATTTGAAAAGTAAAGCCAACACTTTTGAAAAGTAAAACTCACACAGTCTCAGGATGGCAACTATACATCTATGTGATTAAATACATAGATTTTCCACAGAAAAAATGTATAAATTAAATATAAATCAAAACATATAAATTAAATATATGGCTCACAAAAATTCTTATTTGTGAGCCATATATCCTACATATTTCAGATATAAGTATATTTACGTACCTGACTCAAAAGTTTAAAAAGCTAAAAATTATACAGTACCATACTGTCATATATTCAATAGGAATTGAAGTAGTTCTATATTTAAAGTTTCCTTTTTTGTTAAAGTAGGTATTACGCAACCATTTTCGTATTAGCAACAGCTAGCCAAAGAAGTTATAATTCTCAAATTACTGGGTTCCTTTCAACTTAATAGTCAAGTGACCATTTATGAATTTGCATTAAATCTCTGAAAAGGAATAAATTATATGACCACTATTTTCCACCAATTCTTTACATAATCCTATTGCTAACATGAACATTACAGCATGAGAAATCTTTGTTTTGAATTAGAAAAAAAAAAGGCTAAGGATTTGCCAGATCAGCATCAAATATCCAAACACTCTAATTTCTGCTAATATACATCTGATAAGAAGTAGACAGTCAATGAATTAGTTTACATACTGCTCTGCTTTAAAAAGGATTTTTGAAGTAGATTGCAACAAATGTCACAGGCACACACAAAAAAGGTCAGAACTAGAAAAATTAGATCCATGATAAGGAACTAAAAAAACAAAAAGAGACAGAGATCAAACTGGCCAAAGCAGAGGCTTGTTAAATGTACCAGAGATGCCTGCCGTATTCCAGTTGACCATGTTCTGTTCAGTCCTATTTGGGCACAGTCGTTTAACCATCTAATTCCACTTTGATCTCTATTGCTCTGACACGTTGTTCCTTCCTTCCTACAAGTTGTGAAGCCATCCATCTTTCAAATCCTGCACTGAAAACAGTCTGCACCAGTGTCTCCCAATGTGTGAGATAAATACAGCAAGCCAGCTCATCTTAGGCAGGACTCATTTGCACAACTCAGATGGCTTAGTTAATGGAGTCTCGCCTCAATTCTTTTTACAATATGCAGCAAGTGATGTGATCATTGATGGTAGTGGTAAAATGCTTCTTTTAAAAATATATTTAAGTAAATATAAAATGAAGGCAATTTAAAGAAAAATAGTAAGTAAATAATAAAGCAGGGATATGGCATTGCAAAAGTAAAGACTGTTGTGAATTACTGAGGTTTAGAAAACTTTGATGCTATGCATGTGACATTTCCAAATTTGATTTATGAAGCTAGAGAAGTGAACTATACGATTATGAGTTACGTGAAAATTCTTGCAGCAAATGCTAACTGGCTGAAACGACAGTTTCTTTCACATCAGTAAAGATAATATTTTAGAAAGCACTCCCACAGTTTTTGAGATTATAGTAAAAATCAAAGTACAGTAAGATAATCTTCTGAATATGTATAGTAAATCATCATTTTAACATTGCTTAGGAAAAAAACTTAATGCCTCAAAAAGGCATCAAAATGCCTGAAAAAATTTTAGCCTGTGGAACAGTTTAAAAAATCTGAAGAGGAAAAATGATAATAACCTACTGAACCCCAAATGTTTATTTGTACCTTTGTGTGAAAACAAATGTACCAACTACAAGGATAACAAAAACCTGATAAAGTTCTAGGGAAACTGCTATGAGTTGGCTATTTCCATTCTTTACCATCTCAATGAATGTGAAGAATGCAACCTGCCTTTAAAGAAGAAACCCACGTGTCTGGTTCCAAAACAACAAGCCTTACCAAAGGCTGCTGGGGCTGCATTGCTTGGAGACCAAGGGTCTGACTCTGGGGCTGTGAGGACTGCTGGGGCTGGGGGGGCTGCTGGGGCTGCTGCATCTGGAAAGAAAGAAAAAGGATTATACACCGAAAAGGAAGGGGGTAACATCATTTCCGACTCTCCTTCCCCCATATGCCTTTTATCTAATTATTCTGGTCCAGCAAAAATAATATACACTTGCCTTCTACATCTTCACCTTGACAAAACTCATTCATCCTTCAAGGGCAAGGCCTAAATCTGCTCCTCCAAGAAGCCTTCTTGGACCACACCAACCCCAAGGATCTTCTCCTCCGGCAGTCAGTGTTTGCTGTTTGTACCACCTTACTCTGTTGGGGCCATCTCTTGTGCATACAGTTTTGCCTCCTTTCATGTCAGTTGCCTTTCCACATGTTTTATCCTATCTTATGCTATTACATTAGTCAAGGACTGTCCAGTGGTTATCTTTTCATTCCCTGTGACATCTGGAAGAATTCTTGTACATTAGATTTTTTCTTAAAGGAAGATGTAGACTAGCTACCATCAGAAGTTTTGGCATAAATTACCAGCATAAAATCAGGAATCGTGTTAGTGACAGGATTGGCTCAAATACAAAGCTCTTAGAAGATGCTTCCAAGTCACAGAACAAACACAGACTAGACACCAACCACGTGGGACAGAGAGGAGAGGAAAATATTACTAGTTGTTAGGTCTCAATGACCTTTAAAGTTTCCTTCACCCAAACAACTTCATCCTGATGATGACAGCTTAGACTTTTTTTCAACCTTTGCATTTTTCCAGCTTGGTTTGCTTACTATCCCCCAAGTTATCTGTCTTCTTCAGAGCAAAGTAATAAATAGCTATTTCCATATGGCATTTCTCACTGCTGACGATGCTCAAAGACACTGAATCCTAGCAGAGGTCTGGGCAGGGTCACTCTTAACATAAACAATGCAAGTTGGGCCCAAAACATAGTGATTGCAATATGAAGCCAACTTTCCATTTGGCTCTCTGGGAGCTCTGCCAAGAAAAATTAACCCAACTTTCACAGTTATTAACCTTTTCCTTTTGGGGTTAGCCAAACACCAAAAACAGGAATAAATGTAATTCAGATGAAGAAGCAAATCACTTTTCTGTACCTCTACGGAATGTATTAGTGATGAAAAACATTACCAGAAGGACATATTATGGTAATTGGGATAAAAAGTACATACTACCCAATAAGAAAAGGTTTTCCATATTTACAGCCTTGAAAAACACCAATATAAAATAGGAAGTGACAAGTAAATAATGTAGTAACTTTCTTCAGTGATTTAGAAATGAGAAATTTTAAAACAGAGTAAAATATAAATTTTCAGTCCTAAAAGATTATGAAACATATCTTCATAATTTGGTGGAAAAAATGATGATTTAAGAAAGTATCACTGTGAATATGAATAATCATATTAATATTAATAGTAACTTATCAAACTAGTACATTACTTGAATTTTCTCATATAGATTATATAATCCTGACGAGGATTATAAACTTTCATTACACATTTGAGAAGTAGGCATTACAATTATTTGCATTACCAAATTGAGTCTTTGAAGGTTTTTATCATCTCAGAGATAACATCTATGCAATGTTTAGAACTGGCCATCTGTAGGCCACACTCACCAAACCAGTTACTATATGCTATCAATTTTGTGATGCAGCTTTTTGTTTTATTTTTTTACATTTTAACAGGTCAAAAATTAGTATGCAACTAATGATCTTATGACTAACGGCATCTTATAATTGTGAAACCCAGTTCTATTGAGGATTTGTGTTGGCTTCTGCCTGTCACCTGGGGGCTCTACCAACCAGAATTTTGTGTATCTGAATTCAGACCTCAAACCCATTGAGCCTGTAGTTCGAATTCTCAGGGGAGATATTTTATTCTCCCTTCCATCTAGTGGCAAGGTTGAGACATGCAAGCTCCTTTGCTGTCCCATTCTGCATGGTGGGTTTATTTGTTATTGACCTCACACCAAAAATATAACCCTTGGGTACTCTAGCTCTCCGAGGATCCTTATTTTTGGTGTGTTTTTTTCTTAGTAGTACATAAAAGTACATCTCAAATAGGATTGCTGATATGATTAGAGCCCACGCTACAGCCTCATTTAGGATCTCCAAACCAGTAAGACAGGACAAGATTATTAATAATAAAAACAAATGGCACAGGTAAACATAATGGCCTACATATTTTTAAAAGGAAGTTAGAAGCAACAATGTGTCAAACATCAATAAGTGAACAATAGTGCTCTGGATTCTAACAGAGACCAAATTAAATATCCCTTTGAAATATTCTATTTTCCTCCAATTGCACGGCCTAATCAAACCAGATGTATTACATAAACTCTTTTGGACTGCAGAACTCTCTAGGCATCTGATGAAAGCCGTGGATAGCTCAATTTTTTTTCCCTCACATACATGAAACTTTGCATTCAAATTGCATGGCCCTTAGTTAAACAGAGACTGGGAAAGCTGAGTCTTACACTATTAAAGTAAAGGCATCCATCTAACCCCCCCAAAACCTTTGTGAAATGGGAAGGATGCTGCAAACTGTAGTTTCCTGCCCATGACCAGGTAGATACACAGTGAAATGAAAACTCGGTTTCCAAGTTGGAACTAAATCATACCAGTTTAGCTCCTGATGTCCAATACACATGGCTCCTTGGAACTCGGCAATTAAAGGCCAAAGTGTCTTTCATGTCTTATGACTGCTGCATATTTGCACTATCTGAAGGGTGACGGCATTGCCTTCACCTCCCTGCTTCATACCTGGAGGAGTCTTTGCTGCTGTCGAACTTGTGGCTGTCTGGGCCTCATTGGGTCCTGAGGAAGGGGCACCGAGGGAAGGTTTGGATGTGCAGAAGTCAGCACAGCGTCCATTCCTGCGCCTACCAGAGGACTCTGCTGTACAGCCTGATGGTTCAGTCTGGCAAAGAATAAATGCAACATGTTTTTAGGCCCACGTATAATGCCAAATTTTTATTCAGTGCCAACTAGCACATTATATATGTTCACAAAGAAACAGTAAGTGTTCAATAATCCCTTGCACAATTCAAATAGAATAAAGGCCAGTGGTTAAAATAATAGATGTGACCATTTGCAAAAGGACAGTAAGCACACTACCTACTTAAGGTAAAACTGCAATCATGTATAAATTACTTTTTTAAAATTTAATACTTTTTAATAATAAGTGACATTAATTGAGCATTTACTTTGGAGCAGGCACTGTGCTAATGGTCTGAAATGTGTTATTTCACTTGCTCCCCACAGGATCCTTTTGAGGTCAGTAGTCTTATTATCCTCACTTAAAAAAATGAGAAAACAGAGCTAGAGAAGAAACTCGCCAAGGTTACTCAAATAGCAAATGGCACAGGTGGAATTTGAACCCAGAACTTTTGGGCTCTGAAGTTCAAGTTCTTGGGCTATGCTATGCTGCTACTTATTATAGAAACAGTAAATAAAATGCATGTTTTCCAAATTAATTTATTATCCCAAATGTGCTACCATCAACGTTGCCAACTTTTGAAAGAGTGATTACTTGGAGCTGATGTGCCCGCATTGATGATAACACACAGGGTCTGTGCTGCTATCCACTGCAGTGCAAAATTTTACATGAAACCTAATCGTTCTAGGCAACACTGTCCATTAGCACTTTTTATGATGATTGCAATGTTTTCTATCTGCACTGTCCAATAAGATAGCTACTAACCACCAGGACCAACTACGTAATTTTAGTGTCTCAGTGCCCAATAAAAATGCAGGGCTCCCTGATCAAAAATTAGCAAGAGTTTCAGGAGGGAAACTACAGAGCATTAAACTAAGCATGAGGCTTTTTAAAACACGGGGCCCTTCTAAACACAGTGCTCTGTGTGACCGCACAGGTCCCCCACCCTCAAAGCTGGCCCTGCTGACCACATTTGGCTACTGAACACTTTAAATGTGACTAGTGTGACTGAGAAGCTAAATTCTTAATTTAATTTTAATTATTCTAAATTTAAATAGCCACATGTGGTTGGCAACTACAATAAAGGTCAGTGCAATTATATCCTATATCTAAGGGTTCTGATTAAAATAAGAACTGAAGAGTCTATCATGATCTTGTTTTGCCAACTATCCCTGAGGTGGAAAAGGTAGAAACTAAGTTGTGACAAAACTCTTACGTGCACAATGCACAATTAGTATTGCAGTCATAAATTTTATGGTGCTGATCAACAAATTCTAGTCAGGCATTGCTAACAGTAATCAACAAGAATTTTCACTCTTAGGAAAAAAACCAAAAAACACTGGAGCTAACATAATGGTATTATCTAAAACTACTATATCCATGCCATGAAAGATGTGAGTCAAAACGATAGGAGCCTTCAATGATATAAACAAGATGGGGCATTCCTTATTTTGAACCTCTCTCTGGATGCTACTAAAAGTGAGATGACAGAATGCAAATATGCAAGCTCAAAAAAATAATTATAAAGTACCACGCCCTAGAAGAAGCATAACAAACCCAAGAATGTGAACTTCTACTATTACCATCATTATTCCTACATGTATCACCTCTGAGAGCCAGTCAAGGGCTGCAAGTACGGCGAGGCCTGCTGCTGAACATAGCCGCTGGGCTGCTGCTGGATCTGTCTGAGTCTTTCCATGAGCGCAGGGTTGGAATGTGCGGCTGAGTAGGCTCTGGAATTATAGCTGGGGGACAAGACCACACTGCCAGCCTGCTGCTGCGGCGTCTGCTGCAAAGGCATCTGGGTTCCATACATTGTATAGCCCTGGGGCATGGCCTGCAGGTAGGCATGAAGGAAAAGTCAATTTTCCATTTACCACCCATCTTTCCTATCACTAAGATACATGGGGCAAAAACAAACCCAGAAGGACCTCCTTGAAATTCACTGTTTTCAAAGACCCTCATGACTCAGACTTCGAGGAGGACTGCTTTGCAGGGAGTCCAGTCAGAAAATCCATAGAATGAACAGGTTGTATAATGATTCACCAGAAATTTCAATTAAAAAAAAATGAATCTTCATTTGGTTAAACTGGCTTTTAAGATCAGCTGCTTACTTTGAAAAAAAGGGCATGTTTCCGTATAGAAATAAATAGGCAAGCATCCATACCTTCAAGGGACGATGATATCAATGTTCAACAGATTCCAAGTATCATGAATATCATTTCCAAAATTAGTCAGAAAAGCTACCCATGCTCAGTCTAAATTAAAATAATAGAGTACATTTTCCAAATATGTGACTATACCTCTGTGTCTCATGAATATGCCTGTAGTAACTAACCAGTTGCAAAAAAACTAACAACCCCTCTCTAAAAACAAACAAACAAAAAATAAACAAACAAACACACCCAACAACACCTTAACCAGGAAGGGTACAATTGGTGACTATTCAATATACTCTAGTACTGGTTGGACCATAGCCCATTCCAACACTCTACCAATAATGTGAATGCTTAATTTCCTTATTCAATATTAATATACAAACACCTATTTCTCTAAATCTTGAGAAAAACCTGAGGTTCTCTTGGATCACTAGATACAATGTATAGAATAGAATGCTGATTAAAGTAGGAGAACACATTGCTCTTAAAATCCTCAGAGCACCACATTTTAAAGTAGCTTAATGCCTCTGACTTGGAAGACAGAGAAATGTATAATGCATTGCCAGCAGGCAGCATGAATGGATTCTGGAGAAAAGGCTCAGTGCCTCTGCAGGCCAATCGTGGCTTTCCTTTCACTTGTGGGCGGAGAACAAATTGCCAGCCCCAACTAGTAACCTTGGTAACACCCTTGAGCTCCTAATTATGAGAGGGATAAGGTATGAGTATATGAATAAAGAAATAACAAAATTATTATAAAAACAGCTCAAGATTCACATTATATCAAGGCAAATGTATCATCTGTTGAGCATCTACTGTGTATTGGGTGTTATGCTGGTTCCATAGGTTGTCTTAAATCCTCATGCCCTTCATCTTTATTTTACGGAGAAGGAAACCAAAGTTCAGAGTAACTTGGACAATGTCACACAGCTAGTAAGTTGTCAGGAATGGGGCCGAGGTCTGATTCTAAGGCCCATTATTTTATTCTCTCGTAATTCTTCATCAAAGCTATCTTTGAATATGACAATTTCAATCATAAGCCACATCCTTATATATAACATAAAAGAAGTAATTCTAGAATTAACCATTTCAATATATACCATCATCATTAATATAAAAGTTTGAATTTATTTGTTTTTAATTGAAGAATTTCTTTGAACGTTTTATGTACCTTAATCAATCCTGAGACTTGATAATCATTGATAATGCTTTTTAAAAAATAATTTAGAATTATCTTTATTATGATTAGCAGTATCTCCATTCATTAGCTAGGTTAGAGCTTTATTTGATAAAACTTTTTTTAAATTTCAAAATATTAACGGTGTACAGATGTTTTTGATACCAGGCTTGAGTCAGGGCTATAAATTTACCCGTCATTTTATCAAAAGGACACCTGTACTTGAATGTTTATTGCAGTACAATTCACAATTGCAAGGGTGTGGAATCAACCCAAGTGTCCATCAATTGACGAATGATACGCTTTTTTAAAATGTCAATTATAATCTTTAAGTCATAGAAGTAACTAAGTGGTAGACCCCATGGGGAGTTGATATTCTATTTGCTTTGTTTTTCTCTTCAAAGAGCATTAAAAATCCCTTGAGCACCTATGAAGCAAATGTGGGTACCTGTGCTTGCTGCAGCCCTGGATACTGAGGCAGCTGAGGGGAGGGCCGTGCTTGTGCAGCAAAGAGAGCAGCCTGTTCCCCGGGCTGGCCCTGGAAAACAAAGCCGAGGCGAACTTCTGATCATAACAGCAAAGGCTTGATTTGAGCTTTTGGTCAATAATCCTATAACCCATGACATCAAATCTCATTACATGAATATAAAACTCACACATTTTCAAACTGCATTAAATACTATTTCTCATCAATTTCCTACATGTGTTATAGACTGTTGAACTTCTTCCTTCCAAAGACTACACATGTTCCCAATCATAATACACACATCAATGCAAGCCTAAGTAATCAACAGTCTGCTCAGCAGACAGGCTCTAAGATGGCTTTCCAGTGCATTCCCGGGTTCAAATGCTAGTCTAGAGTATGAGTCTGTAAGTGTGAAATCTGGACCCACAAGGCTGCACCACTCAGTGCCCATAAAGGGAGGAGAATATGTGGTATAGACAAAGAGCATATAAACAATTCATGACTCTTTAATGAAGTTTCTTCACAGTGACCCAAAACTTGCTTATTTAGTCAGGTATTCAAGGGATAAATTTAGTAGCTCCTATGATTTTAAAAATCAATTGGAATATTATCAATAAAAATGTATAAGTTCATAACAAATGCAATTCTAACCAACTACAATGCAAAATAAAACCAATTAACATCTGCTTACCAGTCTTAATTTAATACAAGCTTTGTCCTTAGTTAGGAAAATAAACTCATAAGTGCAACTGTATATGTGTTTTATGTTTTGGTAGCAGACATTATTTCATGGAAGCTGGCAGTAATAATTACAGAAAGAGGCCTAGCTTCCTGACAATCACTGTTCCCCAATAAATGAAGTTTACAATAAACCTCAATAAATGAGGTTTATTGTAGGATTATTTTACTATTGTCTTATAATAGAGGTCTCTCATTTAAAAAGTACTAAGTTATAGTTACATAAAACTATTTTTAATGTGCTTGGAAAGTAGTGTAGATATTTCTAGCAAGGACAAAGGGATAAATGTTTAGCTTAAAAGGGAGAACAATAAATATTAAGACTTTATTATATGCCAGAGACTTAGCTTCCCATTCTTATTCCCATTTTCTCACAAAAACTCTATAGGAGAGTTCATTCCCATGTTCTTCAGATAGGAAAAGCCAGTCTCAAAGAACTTAAGAAACTTAGCAAGCTTACCCAGCCAGACTTGCCAGAGCCATGATCTAAACCCCAGTGAGTCTGACTCCAAAGCCCAGGGCTCTTCCCATTACAATGAGATGCCTCCATATGCCATATTACTTAGGATGAAAATATTTAAATACTCATTTGGTACTTATTCTTTAAGGACATATAACCCCTTAAAATCTCCCATTTGAAACCGAAAGGAGAATCTTTATTAAGACTTCTTAATAAGATACTGAAACCACATGTGTATACAGTAGATGGTTAAGTCCTTTCTCTGATCCCCATATAAAATCACCTGGGGACATTTATGAAACTTCAGCCTCTCCTAAGGTGACTATCTATACATATATGGATAAAACACAAATTTCTGAGAGTACCTACTATGATATCTATACAGAAGAGCTTCAATAAGAATCTAAGTTTATAGAACAGGGTACCATGAAGATATTCTTAGCCTTTATCTCATTAATCTGCTAAATACAACTGTATCTACATTTGCTTGGGTTTAAGAAAAAAGCCCAAACTCCCTCTATGAAGAACCCATACCATGGCAGTATGGCTATTGGGAGCCTCAAACTATTCTCCCCAAAGTATACACATGGTTCTTGATTCTCCAAACACTAGGCAAAAGAATCATTAAATCAGCCATATCTTTAAATACCACTCCTTGAATCAGTACTCTTGATGTTAGCATCATGCAAGGTCCCTGAAACATATAGCTGTGCTTCTTTGTGGGGACAAATATACATGTATTATCATTTTTATAGAATAAATGAAAAATGAACTATTTATATATGAGTTAGAATCTTGGGATCAATTCATAGTTTATAATACCCACACCCTCTTTTAGTTTTGAGGGAGACAGGATGTGATCTGTATCTGACAGCTCTGTACAGATGCTTAAAATAGATCTTTTCTAACTCTTAGCTCTTCCTTTGTTTATTGAAGAACCTTATGAAATGCACTATGACTTACATGGGGTAGGCAGAACTAGAATACTAAGAAGATATATATCTGAGTTATTGGGCAATACATTATTTGATTTCATGGAGATATAAGAAATATGAATCAAAAACTATTCTACATTTTTTAAAAGTCACAAAACTAAATTCAGAAAAAGGTGCTATAATTTTAAAAGAACCACAGAAAAGAGATAAAGAAATTGAAATATAGTTTTGACACTCTGAAATTCTTTTCAACCACTCATATTCAAAGGTGAACTACTTATATGTGAACACATTATGTTCTCTCCCCAGATTTTCCCAACATACTACTTAAGTACCAGAGGAAATAATTCAGATATGTAATATTCTCCCTAATAAAATAATTGACACCCCAAGTTAGCTAGCACTCCCAAGTTCTCTGTGCATAGCTTTATCATCATGCTGTCCTGAAAGAAAAATACCCTAATCTCTCCTGCCAGACTGAAATGGATTCCTACTTTTCTTTGTTTATCCCAGAATAATGTCAGGAATACATTTTTCAATTTGTAATAGTAGTTCAATTTATTGAGGAAAGAATAAATTCAAAAAGTTCTTTAGTAATTTGAAACATTTTACAAATGTTAAATGAGGACCTCGATATGGGAATAATAGAGGAAACTAAAGGCTGAGAATTAGTAAAAATATTAATGTTGGTGGGCATTGGTTTGGCTACATTCAACCAAGAACAGACCATATACAATGTGTCATCTAAACTGGGATAGGCCAGTACAGCAGGGCAGAGTGAGACCCTGCCTGGCATATGAGCCCATATAGTCACTTTAGTTAACTGTTATTGTCTGAAAACTTTTTAAGCTTTATTTTATTTTTAATCAGTTCTTAGCACAGTGCCTGGCACACAGTAAGTGCTCAGTAAATATCTGCTGAGAAAAACTAAGATTTAATTTAGTTTATCTGGTAACCAAGACATCCAGTGGTAAATTGGGATTTATATTTCAACATAAGTTATATTACCAAGTGCTTTCCAGTTGCCTCATAGGTTTTAGCACCACATTTTGTTTTAAAAACTCAAATTTAATGTTTAGCATCTATTATTCTAATGATTTTTTCTTTCTGCTAGCATTAGAATCTGTGGAGTAACTGAATTTTTCTCTCTTTATTCCGCTTAACTGAAACTATCAGAGGCAACACTGTATACTTTTATGCATGGAAAGGACAGGCTAGGAAGAGGGTCTTTGTTGGCATATTTGTGTCTAGCCATAAGCCATGTGACTTTAAGCACATCGCTACGAGAGAAAGTAAGACACATGTGCCCCTGCTCGAGCTTCCGTGGCTCAGATACGGACTTGTGTGTGCTAAGGGAATGACCTACGGTTAACCAAGACATTCTAATAATTATATAAGCCCATGTCTACACTGCTACCTGAAGTAATTCCTACACATGGCCTCTTCACTTTGTTATATACTTTGCTTGCCTCTACAAACAAAACACAAATAATAAATATAGTTTATTAACTATTTATTCTTCAGTAAATTTCTAAAATTTCCATTTTCTAAAAACTTCTAAAGAAGCTGTGCTGTTCAAAATAGACCTATCTGCCTAGCCTTTATAAGAATAATTTTTGCTTACTGCTGTATTTTTAATTAGACAGAAGAAGTATCTGAGGTCAAAGGGATGTTGACTCAAAGACCCTTTGCATAATGTGAAATTAATGCATCTGATGAGTTTAAAATTTTTGATAAATCATACTCAAACATAATTTTCATTCTTCTGGGTCTTGTACTCTTCCATGATCTCTTTCTAAAGAAGGACTAGTTATCAGCAATCAGTAAGGATTATAATCAGCAGCATTTCAATGGACCAGAAGTTTCCTATCCTTTTAATTTATTAGTAATGATTTTTATAAAATCCTTATTTAGCAGCTTTTCAATACTGTTTAAGGGTTACAATAGAGAGACAAGTTGTATCTGGAAAAACCACAGCCAGATTTTGTGATTCTTTCTGAAAATACATATCTGGGAAAAAATAAAAAGAGGAGTCACCTAGCAGAAAGGGTTTTATTTATGACTCTTAGTTTGGAAGTTACTAACTAAAGGTGCCCAAAGCTGAAACAACACATGCTGTGAATCAGAAGTTATTGTCATCAAAACATACTAGTCTATTTTGATTGCAAACAATAGACACAGATAAAATTCTATAATTATAGGAGGTTCTATTGACTAGTTATGCTTGACACTTTTACAAAGTTTTCACTTCAAGTATAACTTGTTTGGGAACAAATTACAGTAACATTAACTGCTAGAATATGCTGATTCATTCTAAAATAAACACATCTCATACAGTAATGAAACTTTACCATATTAATATGTCCATAAATGATGAATATAATAATTGGTTGAGTAAATATTCATAATGTCCTAAAAATATGGGAGAATATTAAAAAAATAAGAATGATAAAAAGAACAGCAAAGATAAACATTTCAGTTAATTTAAATTACTATAGAAATTACAAAACCTTCTTTTGACTTTAAATATCTGTGAACAAAACATTTGTCTATAAAAATACCTTTTTACAAAAAGTAAAGCCAATGATTGATGCAAATTGTTTTTATCTGAATTACATTACCATCTGAATAAATGACCTACAGCAATATAAGCTGCCTCCAAAAATACTTTTAAATTTGATAAAGTTTAATTTGTTTTTAAATAAATAAAATCCTCACCTGCTTTCTGTATACTTTAAAGTGTCTTTCTTAATTGAGTTCTTTCTGAAAAATTTCCAAACTTTCCTTTGCTAAAACAGTTAACAGAGAAATTGTCTATATAACAAGTACTTAGCCTAAATATTTTCAAAGTCTGAATATGCAGTTAAGGATATTTTCACCAATGTATAGATAATGTTACCCATTTAATTGGCAGTGAAACAAGTTGACTTACATTCACATCTGAGATGTGTGCTCTTTTTTATTCTAATGCTTCTTGGGTTTATGTTGTGGGTTGGCTAACTGATACAGAAACCTATAAATAATTTAATGCAAAACATGCATTCTTAGCTAGCCCAGGCAAAGCAGGAAAGGTGAAGTCTCATGACATGCATGCACAAGACCTATGCTCAAAAAAAAAAAATCTTCTCCATACCGGAAGGAAAACAGAGATGATGCGTTTTGTTGAGAATTTGGGACTAGCCAGTGAGTGGGATGTGATGACAGGGTATGTTTCATAACCAGTTTTCATTATCTTGCATTGGCCTATGAATCAGCATGCCATGCGTTCCTCTACTAATGATATAAATTACCACAAAGAGAAGCAAGAGCTCAGGAACAGACAGGTTCAAAACTGGGACTGAGATGAAGGTGCATGAACTGGTCTATGCTCCCAAGCCCAAGGCCATGAATGTCTATTGGTTTCTACACCATACATATGTGGTGAAAATCATGAGGCAATCAAAGGAGGAACTTTCAGAAATAAATTCCATTAAATTGAACATAGTCAATGCATTCATGATTCTGTGTTAGAGTCTCAAACACAAACCAAGTGAGTAACAGTGAAATGAAGATTGAAATTACTACCAGCTACAGAAGAAAAATCCTGCTTCTCGTTTTAATGTTCAAAGGGCAATGCTATAAAAATTTTTAAAAAAATAAAATAAATGACAGAAAAAGGAATGACAGCAGGGGTGTTACCATTATGTTGTCAAAGTCTTCCAGAAGGGAGACAGCAGAGTTACAGAAGTCCTACAGAAAGGGGACAGCAAGAAAACGGCAGACAATACAGATAAGATTTTTTAGCCTAATGATGTGGATAGCCAAAATACATATGAAATATTTCATTTTAAAACAATGTTGCAGAGAGTCAAGACTTGAAAACCCAGACCCTACAGGTGTTTTATTAATTCATGTGCCAAATGACCTCACTACAGACTGGGACACTGATAAATAATATGGCAATATTCAACGGCAATATTCACAGAACAGAATAACACAACCTGGAGGTTAAACGGTGACATAAAAGAAGTAGGGGAGATATCAGACACAGATACTTCCTTCAACTACAGGATGATGGAACCCCTGTGTAAGAAACGGGGGGTGGGGGGCAGAGACCTTCTCAGCCTAAAGCCAGTGGGAGAGCTCAGGACATCTGGGTCACATTAAACAGACGAGACATTAAGTGAACAAGTCAGTAGGTTATATACTGTTGTAGGACATAATTAGATAGATCTATCCCCAGTAAATGCAAGTGAAAATACAGCATCAAGCTAACCACACATTCAATCAACCATGGTAGACAACAAATATTTATAGCACCACAATTGTTTACACACTGACAGGAAAACAGATTTAGAAAAAGGCAACTGAGTGCTTCAGGAAAATTGCAATTTCTCAGCTAAATGATCTCCTCTTCTAATCACTTTTAATCGGATTCGAAGAGAAATACTACTGAGGTGTTAAAAATTTCCCTCAGATGAATTCTTGAGACAGATATGAAGCAAAAGATTTTCAACACTAATAGGCAAAGTATTTCACTATATCATGGATTAGAAAGTATAGGAGGAATTCCCCAAGCAAATAATATTTTTACCATTTTAGGTATAGGTGCATAATTCACTGCATCTGTACATTGGTCTTTAGACCCAACAGCCACCCTCAGATTAGCGATTCATTTCCTCAATCCTCCACCCAAACTGCTGTCTTCTCTTATGAAAATTAAGCTGCATACACTGTCTCCTAGCTCATTATATTTGCCTAATTATTTCAGCATGTGAAATCAGCACCTTCCTAATCATTCAAACAGTGATATACCAGATATTAAGTAATAAGCAAAGCACCCACTTCGCTGGACATGTTTTCCACCCAAGGAATAAAGTGATAAGGTGTAGGACATATTTACTAAGTGGTTTTCTCCTTTTAAGTTTATTTTTGTCATTGATACATATTATATGTAACTTATACCCTCTGAGTAAATGCATTAAAGATAATTATCAATACTCAAGATTTGTCTCAACAAGACTCTTTTGTCTACCTTTAACAAGTAAGAATATAATTTGAAATATTCTCAATTTATATGATTAGGAAATTTACTAAAGTGAAAACCTGAATAGCCAGTAAAGTCATTAAAGATGCTGAAACTCATAGTTAATCAGCAAAATGCAAATTTGAATGTCACAATACAACACCATCTTACCTGCTCTGAGAAAAATAAGGTGTGACAATATCAAGGATTGGTGAGATCAAGGAGAAAGGAAAATGCTCATTTACTATGCTAAGAGGAATCACCACCACTTTGGAAATCAAATCCGCAATTCCACTTTCAGGCAAACACCCTAAAGCTTTCCGTATGTACAGAAAAAATGTACAACAATGTTTACTGTAGCATTGTTAACAGTAAAAAAAACAAAAAAACAAAAAAAAAAAAACAAAAAAAAACATTGGAAATAACTTATAGGACCATCAACAGGAAAATGAATATATAATATGTTAACTTTCATAATGAAATAGCATCCAATAGCATTCAGTGAATGAATAAAACTATGTGAAACAAAGTGTACATGATTTGAAAATTAGCCACAAAAAAGCTGCAAAACAGTATGACACATGTGAGACCATTTATATACAGTTTCAAACCTACAAAGTAATACTGTATAATACTTAATGTCAATAGCTGCAAAAATATGTGATGAAAATATAAAAACATTCAAAAGAAAAATACTAAATTCATGGCAGTTGTTACCTCTTTGGAGGAAGGGAGGAAAATGAGAGGAGATCAAGGGGACTCATCCATAGATGGAATGTTTGACTTTTTAAAAATGATCTAGAGCAAATATGGCAGAACATTATTACTTATTAAAACTTGATGGTGAGTACATTAGTGATTATTTTATTATTTTCTATTCTTATATGTTTGAAATACACCACTAAAGAGTGAGTGGAAGGAAGAAAGAAACAGATATTCCAAGGTGATAATGTATCGCCAAGGAAAGGGATCAATCACCAAAGAAAGGGCAGTTGTTCAACTTCAACGGGCTGCATCAATCCAAGAGGTATGTTTTCAGGAAGTCATAGATTCACTCTTGCCAAGGAACTAACAACTCTGGAAGGCTCTGACTCAGTCATCCTTCCTTCCTTAAATTACCCAATTCCTTCAGGTGGATACACAGATGATGAGACCGGCTCCATGGTTGACAGCTAATCTCCTAACAAGTTACTACCTGTACTAGCTATAACTGGACATATCATTTCTGTCCTCTTTCATAAATCTTCCTCTTTTCAGTCATGAAAAATCCTTCTGATTCATTATCTGTAGCCTGTAACCAATTGCTTTTTTTCCAAATTCATCTCAATTCAAGGTAAACATATTTTTTGTCTGTCTTTCTTTGGACTCTTAAAGTAAATTGGCATTGATTATTACAAAGAACAATGATTTTGTACATTGAAAAGGAGAAATCAGGATAAACCAACACCATAAATCAAGGCATAAAATAAAGTTCCTTTCCTGGGTCAAAACTTAAGATTCCTTCAGAAAGTTCCTTCCCTAGATGATTGATATGGTGGGGGGTGGGGAAGGAACCTGAAGAAAAATACTGAGTATATGACTGGAAAACAATTCAAGCCACATTTTGCATTATTATAACCAACATTTTATATTTTATGGTAATTCTAACATATTATGTGGAAAATAAAATACACATTTTATTTAGGATACTTTTAACACTGAGATTAGAATAATCCCCTCTGAAGTCTGTCTCACAAAATTTATACAGTAAAATAACTCTAAGAAACCAAAATGACTATTGGGAAAACTAATCAACATTTCTTTTTAGTATCAGGTCTACCAGTGGTCACTAAGCAAATGAGTATTAAATCAATCATATTAGGGACAATTAATGTAATTATGCAAGTAAAGCATCTGACATGCTTTTATTTTTTGTGTTTAACATATTTAAGAAAATAAAGATTTTTATGAGATAGAAGTTTCTTTTGAAATAAAAATAATACTAATAAAACAGTAACAATAAATATGGCCACTAACATGTTTTGAGCACTTACTATGGGACAGCCACTGTTCTAAGGGCTGTTACATGCATTAAATCATTAACTTCACAACCACTGTATAAAGTAAGAATGGTATTGCAACATCACCACTTCATAGATGAGACTGAGGCACAGAGAGGTAGCATAACCACTACACTGAGTCCCATTCAAATAAGAAACATGGAGTAAACGGATCATTTTTTACAGTAGTACCCCCTTATCTGTGGCTTTGCCTCTCATAGTACCAGATACCTGTGGTCAATTGCAGTCTGAAAACAGGTGAGTATGGTACAATAAGAGATTTTGAGAGAGAGACCACATTCACATAACTTTTGTTGCAGTGTATTGTTATAACTCTCCTAGTTTATTATTAGTTATTATTGCTAATCTCTCACTGTGCCTAATTTATCAATTAAACTTTATCACATGTATCTATATATAGGAAAAAACATGGTGTATATATAGGGTTCAGCACTATTCATGGTTTCAAGCATCCACTGGGGGTCTTGGAACACATCCCCTGAGGATAAGTGAGGACCAGTGTACTTTCCGGATGAAGACTGTAACTAAGAAGAATGAAAACAAGTTTCCTTGCCAAAATCTTTATTTGTGTCCATGTGCTGTAGGAAAATACACTCAATTATAATAATCATTACATCAAATAATCTGATTAAAAATACTTATTATCCACACTACTTAGCAGTTTACTAGATAGTAAAACAATGTCTTAGCATTTCCTGAAAAAAATATAAAGCAGTCCATAACAGAAAATTCCATGACTGACTGAAGCTCACATACCATCTCTGCAGTGAAACTAGAGGGTAATTTTATAATGGTGTTATAGTTTTCTTGGTGTATCATCTAAGGCTAGATGGTTTCTACATATTTCTCTCCATTAGATTGGAAGTGGATAAAATAAGAGAGATTTTAGGTCTTGAAGATCTTAGGTCTGTCTAGAATTCAGGAATTTATGTCTCCCCTCTCAAATCTTGGGTTTTCATAACAACCACACGAAAGATCACTGCAGGGGTCAGTTTCTGGAAGCACTCAGAGGAACAGCTATGAGATGAGTGTGAGGATAAAAATTAGATTGCTGAGGGTTAAGGCTACTAAGAAGCTCTATGCTTCTGGAAATAACTGTTTAAATTTTGCATTCATTTAATAAACACCTCATAGATTTCTACTATGTGCTTAGTAGATAAAAGAATGATACAAAATATTATAAGATCCAATGCCTGACCTCATAAGACAAGGGCACAACCAGTGGGTTACCAAATAACTGGCTTAGAAAGCACATACACAAAGCCTGGGGAAATTAAATCAGGCTGTAAAAGCATCTGCCAAAATTCCAACATCAGTTTGGAAGATTAACATAAATGGAAATTTTTGAACATGTTTGTTACATTTAAGATAATGGATTTCTGGAATAAGAAAATTACTAGGATATGGAAGAAAATCATATCTATTTACTTTTCTCTGCCAGAAGCCAAAAATTTAAAAAAAAATTACATTACAAGTCCTTAGGTAAAGAAATTCACATTATGTGTCAGTATTTAACGTCAGAAAACTTTCCTGCAAAAATTATTAATAGAAATGTTTCTCTATCATTTCTTCTCATGAAATGGTCTATACTTAATAGAAAAACAACTAATTGTACCTAGAATTATATATTAAAACAATTTGTCAATATCACTTATATTCCATATAATTTCTGCCTTTATTTTAGATTTTGAAAGATTATCATAAGGAGAATTTCATTGCTACAACACCATGTTTAGCTAGATTCTAGGTATATTAATAAATAGCTCATTCTATCCCCAGAATCACTAAATGAAAAAAAAAGGTGTGGGGGGGAATAGCTCATAACTGATCTATTAGGTGAGAGGAAAGGTACTAACATTTCCTCAGAACCTCCTAAGTGCAGGCACTGTAGCAAGTGCTACAGGCAAATCTCACTTATTTTAGTAAATATATCAGAATATATTCATTTCTCTTTCTTATAAGAATACTATTTTCCTCAATTATCCAACACTTGAAGAAGTAGGAAAGAGAAAAAGACATGTCTGCTTATGAAAGCCCTTCAGAGACACCAAAGCAAGTTTTAACTGTTAAAAAAAAATAGAAGGGAAGAAGGGGAGGGATGGTGAATATTGTACAGTTGCTGTTATGAAGTTGAGCTTTGACTATTTTTTTTTTTTGAGACAGAGTCTCACTCTGTTGCCAGAGCTAGGGGGCTATGGTATCAGCCTAGCTCACAGCAACCTCAAACTCCTGGGCTCAAGCAATCCTTGAGGCTCTTGCCTCAGCCTCCCAAGTAGCTAGGACTATACGCACAGGCCACCACGCCCGGTTAATTTTTTCTATTTTTAGTAGTGAGAGGGTCTTGGTCTTACTCTTGCTCTTGGCTGGTTGGTCTTGAACTCCTAACCTCAAGCAATCCTCCTACTTCAGCCTCCCAGAGTGCTAGGATTACAGTCATGAGCCACCGTACCTGGCTGAATTTTTACTATTTGAAGAAGGCATTTCTGACCTTAAAAATTAAATATGCAAGGATATCTCTGATTAAATGTAGATTAGTCTATTAAATTCCTTTTGAAAAATTTCTTTTAGGTAAAACTGTTATGTCTTATATCAGGAACTGAACCTTTTGAGGACAGACATATATACCTATAAATGGCTCAGGGGGCATTTCCTAAGTGAAAAGCTGAATTTAGATGTAACAGTTTGAAAGTGAGGTATAAGTAAGGCAAATTTTATCTTGTGGCAAAAAAGGTAGATATGAAAAAATAAATAAAAAGGCAAATTTTACTTAGGCTTTGTTACTTTAAAAGGGAGCTGAATTCATTCTAGTGGGATGGTTTCTCAACTTTTAGTGAATTTTTTATTTATCTCAAAAAGAATTTGAAGAAATGATATCACTATTTTTGCTCATTTCCAAGAGCACCTAAAATCCCAAAGAGGTTTTAAATGATGCCAAACTTATTTAAACAAAATCAATGATTTCTAATATTTTAATAAAATTCTCATCAAGCAAGCAGCAGCTTAGGCCCATCTTATCTGACACTCAGGGAGTAAAGAAATCACTAAGGTCAGGGAGAAACAAACATGTAGTGATTGTTGTTTGTATCCTCATGCAGTTCAACTAGTTTATTCCCTCTTTCCTTCCTATAATTTAGGTAAAAAAAAAAAAAAAGAACTATTTTTTAAGAATGAATAAGCTCCCCACTTCTACCCACCAAAATTCTAAGAAGTCCAAATGCACAAATGTCATAAATTATAATGGAAATATGTCTAAAAAGTTATCCAAAAGACAAAGGATATTTTTTAAAAGCATTTGAATTTCTTGCTATTTTGAAAGTTTTATGATTTTTCTTAGAGTAGGATGCACTTGTAGATTGGCCACTTCCATTTGAGGATCATGAGGGTGCCTAACTCTTAATTATCCTTGTTCTAGGATCTAACATTTAAAGTGCTTAGAAATGTTTTGGCATGTCGTAAGTGCTCTATTAGTGTTAGCCATTATTATGAAAATAGTGCATGTCCAATTTAGAAAAGTTGGAAAATACAAAAAGAGTAAACAGAAACTAGAAGAAGAAATCCCAATCATACCTCACTCAATATTTTAAAGCATTTGTATAGATTCATGGGTTTCATGAGTCTATACTGTTTTGTACAACTTTCACCGACATTTTGAACAGAATCACTACCTTCTAAAAGGAAAATTGGGTTATGAGGCATAAAAATGGAAACATAAATCAAGAATTAAATTTGATGTATCCAGATACTGACTGTTGTTTACAATTTATTAATTGTCTGCCATAGACCTTATTAAATATACACTAAAAACAAAGAGTAAAGGCAGAGGACTGTTGGAGAAAACCTAAGAAACATCAGGGCTTTACAGATACAACCTCAAAGTGACAAATCTAAAAATAACACATGAAAGTGGAGCTAAAAGGAGTACAGAATATAGAAGGAATTAAAATGGGGAACAAGCTTTCAGAGAAGGTGACCTCAAGAATAAAAGGCCTGCTTCTTCTAATTGACCAGAAAGCCATTAGCTCTTCTTTTAGTTTTGAGGCATACTTTTAATAAACCTAAGACATTTCAAGTTCTCTTCTGGTCAATGATAGCAGTAAGATACAATGGAGATGTATTTATAAATCCGTTTAAAAGCTACACCTGCACTCACACAAGTGTACAGGTATATGCATGTGGTAAGAATATGCCACATACCCCCAAACTCATCCCTAGTTAGAGGATGTAATGAAATGTCGAGGACATCATTGCTGGGTCTGGACAAACCTGTTGGAAAGGCCGAGTCTGGGCTTGCCTGAGAAGCCGCTGTTGCTGATGCTGCTGCAGAAGCTTCATCTGTATCAGCTGCTGCTGTGATGTGATTGCATGAAGCGAGGGCGGCTGCATCATGGCGCCCGAGCGCCGCTGCAGCATGTTGGACAGAGCCTGTTTGGTATTTGTTGGGACAAAGGAGCCCGTAGGGTCCAATCTGGAGCCACCTACAAGAGCAATCAGAAGGAAGGGCTTTCTAAGTATATTAATGCAACAGGTCTTCTTTATTTTATCAAAACACAAAAATTTCACCTTCTAAGTCTCCCTTTATGAGCAAAATGGAAAATGGTGTATTGTCCCTTCCATGGCAAATGTTAAAGATTCATTAAAACTTGCATGATTTCTAAAAGATGAGGAGGGTGATGTAGGAGTGAATTTTAATATTTTAACTTAGCTTCAGGGAGGTTACACTTTAGTTGATAAACTGAAATGCCTGAAATACAGAGTTGCTGACATAATTTCAGAATTATGTGGGTTTTAAATTATGTAAGGCCCTCAGGAACATATTGCTTATATAAAACATTGCCTTTGTGGTGTAGTTTACCAAGTATCCTAAGCCAGGCATAGAAACTGTTTTGTAATTTTAAACAAATGTGAAGCTCATATTATTTAAGCTTCTTTACCACGGCAAAATGAAAATGCCTGTTGTGTAGTAGGCATGAAAATATTTTAAAAACTTAAGATGCTTGGAAACTTTAATTACTACCATGATTCTAAAGACAAAACACATCTTTTATTGAAGGCTAAAAATCAAATAAGAACCAAATTATATTGATATCTAAGAAACCAAATGAAATCTTTAACATATTCACATATATGATTTGTCATATGGCTTTAAGAGTTAGCAAAATTTTTTTCAATATGTGCTGGCTTCATAGTAAATGCCAATCTTTCATTTACCACAAATAGTCTTTTATGTATATAAAGGAAAAAATCTCTATATAAATACACCATAAAAGCTGTTTTATCTTTTCTCAAAATCAAGTTGTATGGTGAAAACAATTTAAAGCTTCAATCAAAAAAACCCACCTTCTTTTAAAGACTCAGTACACCTCAATCAACAATATGATTCAGTGGCATTTGAAGAACATTTGGAATCTTAGTCTATTGTTAAAGCAACACTTGGAACTATATTAATACATAAATACTTAATAGAACTCATTTATAGAAAAGGGAAATTCTTTTTAAAGATTAAACTATAGTCTACTTATTGCAAAAATTTCCTAACTCTTCTATAATCTTGTACCTCTGAGCAAGTAAAGAAATAAAATATTATGGCTGCGCGCAGTGGCTCACGCCTGTAATCCTAGCACTCTGGGAGACCAAGGCGGGTGGATTGCTCAAGGTCAGGAGTTCAAAACCAGCCTGAGCAAGAGCGAGATCCCATCTCTCCTATAAATAGAAAGAAATTAGTTGGCCAACTAACATATATAGAAAAAATTAGCCGAGCATGGTGGCACATGCCAGTAGTCCCAGCTACTTGGGAGGCTGAGGCAGAAGGATTACTTGAACCCAGGAGTTTGAGGTTGCTGTGAGCTAGGCTGATGCCACGGCACTCACTGTAGCCTGGGCAACAAAGCAAGACTCTGTCTCAAAAAAAAAAGGAAATAAAATATTATAAATGTGGCTGAACCCTACCTAATTACTTTTCTCACTTCTCTTACCAAATGCTACTCTGAATTTGGTGTTTATTATTCCCATGTTATTTCCTCATAGTTTTGTCATACTGGTGTGTATATATGAGAAAGAGTAAGATATATATGTGTATGCTTGTGGTGAGGGGGATTGTTTTGCATTTAAACTGTGTATAATAGAATCATACTGTACATACTACTCTTCCATAACTTTATAAGACTCAATTTTTAATGAAAATCTATTCATTCATTCATATAAAATGCTCATAATTATTTTATTAAAAAAAATTTTTTTACATGCCATCTAATACCTAAAATTCCTCAACTTATAAACACCTTTTAAGAGTATTCTATGGGGAGAGGCCCTGCTTTTACATACTTGTTAGCCTTCAATTCATAAATAGTCTGTGTTTCAACATCAGTGAAGAAACTTCAGTTATCTACAAAGTTTTAAATGGCTAAAAATTCACATGGACCTTGGAATTAAAAAGATAAAGTCAAAAAATAGGACAATTATGTTATTTTCCACACATGTATTATTAAGTCTACTTTGCTCTTTGTAGTCTACATTAATTCACTCAACAGTCTATTTTTAAGAGTCTACTATAAGTCAGATGCTGCTGTAAGTTCTGAGGATAATGTAGTGAACATAGCAGGAAAAATATCTGTCTTCACAGAGTTTACATTCTGGGGCATGAAGATAATAAAGCAATAAGAGAGTAAAGCATAAGCCAAGAGTTGATACTATGGAGAAATAGAAAAATGGGGAGGAAACAGAGTGCAGGGAAGCGGTGTGGTTCACGTTTTAAAATGGAGCTATCAGTGGAGGCCTCATGGGAAAGTGTTTTCTGACCAAACAGTAAACCACATAGATATCTGAAAGAGACCACTGCAGGCAAAGGGACCAGTAAGTGCAAATGCCCTGAGGTGGGAATATGTTAAAATCATTTATTGAACATGTCTGCTGTGTCAGGCTATCTTTTAAGGGCTACAAATTTTTTTTTAATTTACTTTAAATTTTACAAATATGTGAGTGTATGTGTAATAAAAACTTTATTTCAATCTTTAAAAAATAATAAGCATCTTATCCATTGTGTTCTCTGCAATAACCCAGCACCCAAAACAGGGTCTAGTATATTATGAAGCTGAATACATTTTGTTGAATGAATAACAGAATCCTCTATCCTCTAACGGTAGATATTAGCACATCCATTTGACAGATGACCAGAATGAAGCACGGAGAAGTTAAGACTTAGACAAGATTATACAGCAAGAGAGTGGGAGAGCCAGATTTGAACCTAAAACTCTGACTCTCAGACCAGTTCTTTTAAACACTAATTTAGAGGACAAAAATATGAATTTTCCTCTTCTATAAGCCAAGAATCAAACATTTTCCCCCCTAGACCTCAAAATGTCATGCTCGAGTCACAATAAAAATCACAATATAACATAGAATACAACATGAAAAATGATTATTGGTTAAAATGCAAATCCTAACACAATGCAGACTGAAATTTCAAATAATTTAGATATGCTAAAACATGTAATTTTTCATTTAGAAAGTTAAATTCATTTCTAATTAAGAGATGTTTTCATTTAGAAAATCTTCATTTGAGATGTGCAGTCTATTAATACTTGGGCTTGAACCAACGCAATACTAAAATCAGGAACATTTACTATGGTAGCTTTCCTTGTTAGTATCTAAATCGTCTTGCTGAACTGAGTTTCTAAGCTGTTTCATGATATAAACAATTTAAAATTCACAACACAAGAAAATGAAAGATACTGTACAATGCTGATATTTTAAAACACAAATAAGAATTATATCTGATGAAAATATATACAAATTTCACAACATAAAACTTTTAGCAACTTTATATCTTCGAGCTTAGATGTTAATCACTGCACTGGCTAATTTCTCTAACACTAGATGAAAATTCCAAAATCAGTGTGTAAACCTGCAATTTAATCTTATTTTAGAAGAAAAAAACTTCATTTGAGTGATGAGAATTACACAAATGTCAACTGAGTACTCAGTTCTTGAAATTTCCAAGTTTTGTGGAGGTTTCAGATTAAAAGCAAAGAGAACCTCAAGCTGTTCTCTTGGGGAGTGATCTAACTCCTGAAGTCATCTTACTGTGTGCTCTTGTCACATACCTGGAGTGAGAGATTGGTTCTGCAGGAAAAAGCCGGGTTGCTGGGGCTGGCCCACAAGGTTGTAACCCCACAATGCGGACTGTGGATGATGCATCATTTGGGAGGAGATGGGTGAGTAATTAGGAGGCACTCGGTATATGTTGCTCTGTGAATATTCCTTTAACATAAAGTTAAAAAAAGTTACCCAATGCCACACACCACACATCTAATTACTGCAAATTCTTCCTGTTAAGTTATTTGAGATACTTCCTATCGCAGTGTACGAGTCTGTTTTTATAAAAGGGAAGATGGAAGGCAAGAGTGTCAATATATTCTCTGCAAAACATTCATTTAAGTTAAACTTTTCCTTGATTTAAAAACTACTCAGCTTGCAGTGGGCAGAGATAAAAAAGGATCTCTTCTGAATGCCATTTTTAAAATACCAGAAGTGCATTTAGAACACCAATATTGAACAACACTCTCAGCTGAAAGCACCACCTTTAGTTGCTAAGTCTCCTGATCATTTTGTCCTAGGCAGCCTTCCTGATACCCTCCGTCTGGAGAAGAATTATGCCAGAAAGGCCCACAATACTTGTTAGCCTTCAGAATCATTCCCCGGCCTGCCTAGGTGGTATCTCACTTACAATTTTCAAGACAGCACTCTAAAGAAGACAGCCTCTCACCCTGTGCATCCTCCTTTACAGCAGCTGCAAAGTGTCTAAGCAGCATACCTGAATGTCTCAATTCCCTCACCTTCCCTCCTTCTCTAGCCCCAGAGGATGAAGGAGAAGCAAAATCTCCGTTCCCTGCAACTTTACCAATAAATATATCCCACTGGAAAGAGGTAGCTGCAGGAGCAGTACAGGAAGAGGGGATCCACTGGGGAATGAGAAAGATTTCGGGGCTTTTACATCTAAAAAAAAATAAAGCCCTTCCATGCGGATTGACAGGCTAGGACATCCTAGATTTCAGGACTGTCAATCTGGACCATACTGAACATCTCTTCAAGATGAAGAAATACTAGTAGGAAGATTGAAGATAGGGCACTGATGTTCAAGGGGCATCCAAACATGATGGTGGCCATTTCTAGAATAATGTTAATCACCAAGCTAACAGCTAGGAAAAGATATGTTTTGGTCCTAACATAGGTGGGCAATAATAATAATTACTCATGGATGTGTGAACTACATTGTGAATATTTCTTCCATAGTGCAGCAAGAACACTCTTGAACTTTTATAGAAAAATGTCTCAAATTCTATCTCAAGTATTTTCCTGGTGAATTTAGATGAAAAGATACTTTAAGCATTACTTCTCGAGATTTATAAAATTCTTTCTAAATTACCATCATGTAGATTTCTGTTGTTTTAAAGACAATATTGTTACAGGTAGGGAACACTAATAGAGTACAACTATTTTAAATCTGGTTTATTTTATCTTTTATAAAGTCTGAAAATATGGTAAAGAAGTAGAACAGAGAAGGGAAAGATGGCATGGTAAAACACGAAATCTAACGAATATCCTATTGGGTATGTCAGGTGTAACTTTTAAAGGAAAAACAAATAGAGCTTTTTATGTTAATTTACTACAGATATCAGCCACTCAAAATACAATAAATATTTTAGACATACTAAAAACATGTGACAGAATTTTATAGTTTAAAAGAATTATATTTTCAAACCTGAGAAAATTATCAGGTACTAAAATATTAACTAAATATTATTAACAATAGAAGCCTAAAATGAAACAAAGTTATTAAAATAGAGGAAGAAAAAAAAATCAAAGACTTTAATCCTATCCGTCTGTGAGAAGTCACTGTGTGCCATTCAGTTAATTACTATGGAAACTTGTCAGGACACCTGTCATAACAAAGCTTACACTGCTCTTAGTAATGTTTCTGGGGATCTAATCTGGGCACTAGTCAATCTCATCCTAAATGCTACTGAGCCAAGGTTCTCCCTATTTCCCTACTTACATCAACTCTTGAGCTTGACTTCGTCTTGCGTTTCCTTCCCCTTGTTTTCTTCTCTTCATCAGCTGTGGTTTTTCCCTGATCTGACAGCTCTGCTGATTTCCTTTCTGGTTCCTGAGAGACTGGAGATGTAGGCTCTTCCTCTTCCTCCTCGGGAGGCAGGGGCAGTGGCTCGAGGTAGTAGCTTCGGGGCTTGGGCATGGGGTGCGTGTGATACAAAAGGAGGTGATGCTGCTCCTCATACTTGATCACTTTCCGGTCCACTCGGACAGTCCCGAACCAGGCCCAGGACAGAGGAGCTGGGTTCTTCTGACCCTCAAACAAGTCCCATGGGGACACCTTCTGCTTCGTAGAGACCTGGAGGCCCTGTGGTAAAATGATGCTCTATGACAACACATTCAGACCTTTTCCTGATTCACAGGCCAGGCTTGCTTAGGGCACAGATTCGGAAGATTCTGGCTGGTATGGGTCCTACAGAACCCTAGCACATGGCAGACAGAGTTACTCACCCAGAGCACTGGAGGGCAGTGGCTAGAATTCAGATGTGTAAGCTCATTTCTACAGTTGTTTATATCACACGATGCTCTGCCCCGGCAACACAAGGTGGTCTAGTATATTTTACTATAAATGCATTTTTCATTTAGTTTTAGCCAAAACCAAAACATTTAAAGTACACTACAAAGTTGATCTTACCACACTAAATTATCATCCGTTATAAACCTCTGGAACCTTTCTATTACTTTTAAGATAACATCAAATTTAAGAGTCAAGTTACAGTCAGCTTCTACTTAGGTTCATATTAACATCAATCCAAACCCGTATGAACTTGGTTTAATACTGGACTTTTCATGTATTTAATAAGCCCATCTCTGAATCAAGTAATTGATTTAAAGTAATAGAATTAAATTGTAGCAGCAGGTACAAATAAAACCTTTCAACTCAAGCCTGTATTTACTGACTGTAGAAGAAAAACTATTACTCTGTTTCTGCAAAAAAAAAAAAAAAAAGGGGGGGGAGTTTTATTTTTAACATTAACTGGTGATGTCTCCTGGTACTTTTCCTAGTATACCAATTTGAAAATATTTTTCCTCAAAGTGGTCCCCCAAATGACTATTCAGTCATTACTTAAGATGTGAGCATTCCTATTCTTATCTACACGGCTCTTTCAAGAATGGCTTCATCCAAACCCAAAGTTACATTGCCACCTGTATGTTGATTGTTGCCTAATATTTGTCTTGAGACAAGAACTCTTTCCTAGGTGCCAAGACCAAATATCCAAATGGATTCTAGACATCTTACCACTAGGGAGCCCACTGACACTACAAATTCAATTGGACCATGACTCTAGCTTTTTCCCTTTCCACAACCACATCGGTATTAGATGCTCAGGCTACTCTAAATTATTGCAGAATTGCATTTCCCCTATAAGCCACAGTCTTTCATATCTTTACATAAACTCTTCCCTTTTCCCTAGCTTCCAGCTAACTCTTAATCCTTCAAAACAACTCCTGTGTCCATTTTTCTGGAGACTCTGCTCTGACTACCTCCCCCTTGTCTAAGTTTGATGGCTCTTCCTCAGTGTCCTCTAAGACTCTCTCTGTACCATGACACACAAGTCTCAATACACTGTAACTGTCCATCTGCTTCCCCTTGAGGGCAGGAGCTCTTTCTTTCATCTTAGTGACTGTGGAATTTCTGTGGTTGCTCAACCATCATTGAAAGAACAAATAGCCACTCTTCTCATATTTTAGAGAACCTTCCTTGATATTATATCACATATAAAACAAGTGTCTATTAGATACTGTTTGACTGATTAAATAATATGATACTCCATATACTTAAGTAATTTTACTAGAAATCAACAAAAATTTTCTTATCTAAACATACTCTGCTTCCAAATCTGAAGTAAAATCAGAACTAGTCTTTGCTATTATTTTTTTACACTAAGCTTTTACTTAGTTTTCCCTTAGTGGATTTCAGAAATATACTTAAATTCAGATAAACATTTTAAATGATCTTCAAAGATATAACCCATGTAAATGATAATGTCAATGCCAGTTGCACTTTTACACATCCTATAGGAAGATAAGAAAAAGTACTCGATTTTAGATGCATTTTTATGTGAGAAAAAACATTTATTCTTGCCTGTTTTTTATCTATAGAGTCAAATCCAGCAATTTTGTTTCCCTTTGTGTCGATCAAGGAACCCATAGGTTCACAAGTGATGACATCGCATGTCTGTTTCGGCAAAGGTAGCAACTGTTGAACTTTGTCAATACTTTCTGATCGCTTGTCTCCTAGCTCTTTCTAAAGAAAGAGAAAGAGAGAGAGAGAGAAAGTGGTACAGAAATTACAATGAAGGCAAAAGTTAACAAGAAGGAAGTTCGCGTATGAAACATTTCCTTTTTTTTAAGCTAGCATGTTCTTTAACACTGAACATGGCCTATGAGGCAGATCCAGATTAAAGTGGTAAGTGTTTCATTTCTTCTATTTAAGTAAAAAATAGAACACAAAGGCACCCTTGTTACACAACAAGCATCATAGTGCTGAAATGACAAAAATCCAGGGTAGCATTTGCTATCAGAAGTAAGGAGCTGCAGGACAGAACACTTTCTCGTACCCAAGGTCAGATCCCAAGGTGATCGATCGTCGGTTATTTTATTGGTAAGGTCATCAGATTTATTAATTTTCATGTTGTTTTATTACAGTTTGCTTTGAAGATTGTGTTAGGGGTTAGTAAAAAGAATCAGATTTACAAATATCAATGCAGATGGTTATTTTTCAACTACATGTGCCAGTCCACACATAGATTTATTCTAAATTTAATGTAAGAATTTTGGTTATATATTTGATAATGGATTTCAATAATTCCTTAAAAAATTAACATGTTTTGTAAATATAATTTTTTTAAAGAAAAACCAAGATTACATGCTTTTAACTTTTGGGTACTGGTAAGCTATGATAAAACAAATAGCAAAATAATCACATTAAATTAACTTGAATACAATAAATAACATTATATTTAATGAGCAGTAAATTAAAATGCACTAGATAACAAATCCATAAACAACATGAGCTCATAATAGAGGCTGATCACAAACTTACTTTCAGTTTCTTTACTAAATTCATGTATGCACGTTTGTTCTCTTCAGATCCCCCGGGGGAGGCATTTGATAGGTCTGAGGCTAATGTTCCATTGATTAAAACACCCAGCATGTCAAGAACAGTTGTAAATAATTCACTAAGAGGAGACAGAGAATAAGTATTTTCACCTTAAAGCGAAATCAAGATACAGTTAATTGAGCATTTTTATGCATGGCAGAGAATTTTTAATGGTATCTAAGAAAGAAAGATGTGGTAGAATCTGCCAGCAGTATATCAAAACTTATACCATGCAAGCATATAGCAAAATAAATGTGAAATGATGAAAACATACTTGTTCGTATGCATGTCAACGGTCCCTGAAGTAATTATCTGCAGGAGTAGGAGGGCCCAGTCTGTCGTCCATTGGGTGCTCCTCTGCACCGTGTCAAACATTCCTCCTACCTGGCATACAAAATACAATAAAAAATTTGCGTTCTGTGCAGGAGAAAATACCATCCCTGTTACTTTATCTGGCCAAATTCTGATTAGTTAAAAAAAAAAAAAAAAAAAAAGATGATCTAGTTTATGGACTATCCTATCTTCTCTCTCATTCAGCTATATATGTATTATTCTTTTAGTTCCTTCAGCATCCAAAAATTAAATAAAGAGGAATGAATGAGTAACTGAGTGTGGGCACCAATATAATTCTGTTTTGTTCCTAGTATTTCATGATACCTAGTTTTATGATTCAACTATAGCTGAATTAAATAGGAAGAATATCTAAGAAGCCATGTAATCTGCTTATCTACAACTTTGCATTTGTTGTTAATGACTATTGAATCTAAGCTTGCTATCATAATACCACTTGGAAATATCCCCTAACACAGAAGTAACAGTGAGCTTGGCCCAAAGGCCTACCAGTTCACGTGTAGGGAATTAGGTTAAGAACAACTGCCAAAACATGAGCAAGCCATCTACTTTGGGAAGTGGAGCCTTCACTTGGGCTTGACCAGTGGGGAAAAAAATTCAAAGGAATGTGCAATGCATGTGAGAAATTTTGTTTCTGAAAAAAAAAAAATTCCCTGTGGGATTTATCTTTATGATCAATTTGATGGAAAGTTTGACAAGATGTTGAGTTAAAGGACTTCTTTATGGTTTTTAAATGAGTATAGTAGAAGCTAACATCTCAAAATAGTAGTCCTTTCAAATCTACTCTTAGTTCAAATGGAAGAGAAAGAGAGATTCACAGTGGTGGAGGGTGAAGGAGGAAAATCAATACTTAAAATACCCACTAATGTCTAGAAGTCTAACCAGACAGGAAGGAAAGCAGCAAGGAAAACAGAAGGCTTGAGAGATAGGGAAGTAGAGAGAGCAAACAGTATAAGGCCTCGCCTCAGAATGCAGACTTTGCCCACAGAAGAAGTGAAAAGCTGGAGTTATTTTCACATATAGATATGTTTAATGGTGGGAAAATACTAGAAACGTCTCTTACCAAATTAAGGCGGAGTTGCAATGCTTCATGCATCATCTGCCGGGCTTTTATGTCATCTTGGTATCGCTCTTCTCTCCAGTTACTTAAAATCTAAGACCAGAAAAAAAGAGCAATAAGCTCCACCTTTTTTCCCTGTTAAAATAGAATTTTTCTCACATTTAAAGGTAAGTTGAGCTCTTTACTGATAGTCAACAATAACTTCTTAGCTTTAATAAATTAACAAAACTAAATAAAATTTTAGCTTTCCTCCTCTTTCTCCATGCAGAAGAAATTAGGCTATTTATTTTTTTGTTTATTTGCCTTTCTAAATGGAAGAATAAAATCTAATCTAATTATATACCCTGCTACTAAGTCTGGGAAAATGCTTTAGAGGCTATCAAATTAACCATTAATAAATATTTTTAAATAGATTATTTCATTGGTCTTATGAAGATAAACATTGGAGAGACAGAATTATATTTTGCATCGGTTCTGTGTAAAATTTTTACAGACATGCAGTGAACCCTAGCAAAGGCATTACACTTTGATGTTTTATGAAAGAAGAGGATTGCTATCTTATCGACATGTCTTACTTGATAATGTATAGCATTTTGAAAAATATGGCATCTTACACATCAGACAAATATCATATCAATTTATAAAGTGGACTGCTTCCTCATTTCCTCACTGACTCAAACTAATGCTAGAGAAGGAAAAGTATGCTTTGGAAAGGAAAGCCACAAATGGGCAATACTCCAGAATCAGATGACATGAGCAAAAAAAAAAAAAAAAAAAAAAAAAAAAAAAAAAAAAAAAAATGAAGAAAACAATAAAACAACAACAACAAAAACCTGTAATGTTTTGGAACAAGGTAGTTAATAAGAATCATCTTGAAAGAGTTGAAATGAGTCACATGCAGAAGTAACCCAACCCAACAGATGACCTATAAATATACTGCATGTTGAGAAGTGAGCACTTCCCAAATCAAAAGATGTGCACCTCTCCCAAGGCTGAATTAAGGGTACAAGGCAGGTCACAAAACCCACAAGCTCTCATGGAATTCACATAACAGAAGTAGGGCAAATAAAAATAAGTATAACAAGTGGCATGAGCAGGACAAGGGGACAAACAATTACTGTGGTCCTATTTTGAGAGGGCCACCATGGCCTTCCTAAGGAGGTAACGTCTGAACAGAGACCTGAATGTGAAGTGAGGCTATGCTAATATCTGGGAGAGGATCCTTCTAGCTAAAGGGAAGAAAAGATACACAGGCACTGAAATGAGAACTTGCTTGGCAAGTTCAAGGAACAGTAACATGGCCAATGCCACCAGAGTGGAACAAACAAGTCCATGACTGGTAGGAAACAAGGTGGAAGAGAGAGCCAGTGTCAAATCCTGTTGGGCTTGAGTTTTACTCTAGGTATAATAAGAAACACTGGACACCAGAGTAACATGTAACTTACATTTGAAAAGGATCACTATGGCTGTTACATAGAGCAGCAATCTCTCATATCCAAAAGGCGAGAGATGGTGAAAGGACTAAATAAGGTTAGGTTTTTTTTGTCCCTGTCCATCCAGCACCATTCAAGGGAAACACGTGATGTCACAGAAACGTAGCACCACAAGGAGAATATAATTAGGCTCTGCATCTGGATAAAGTATCTCACAAGACCTACATATCCACCTTGCTTGATTCTATGCTCCCCAATCTTTAATGTGATTACTCAATTTCCTTGCAGTGCATAGATGCAAGTGCTCCAGACAGTGATGAGGATAACTGTGGTTGGTGAAAAGGCAATGTCCAAATTTTTTGTAAAGGAACCAAAATGGCTTCTGACTTATTTTTTGTACACTTAGTTGGTGTCTATAACACTGAGTTTCTGAACCTACAGAGCTCAAGCTGAGACCGTGCCTGATACATGGAATCCCAGCTTGAGGAGCTGGACAGGGCTCCTCTGTCTCACTGCCATGCCTACTGCAACACAGACTGCTCCAGGTCCTCTCCTACCGGACGGAGTTAGGAGAGGAGCAGACACGTCAAAGTTACAGGCAACATACAAAATTTTGCTTTTATAGTCTGTAAGCATTTATCATATACATAATTAATATTATGAAATTATTAATCTTCTGGTGCCTAGGTAGGACAATAGGGCAAGGATTATGTTTCCCAGCATCTAATCAAAACATGTTGTGCTCTTATTAGTTTAATCTCAGTATTTGAAAGGAAAATAAATGAATGCCATTAGATAGATATTTGCCTGACTTAATATTATACTATGCTTTACCTGGTTAACTTGATTCTGGAGCGATGTTAGGAGGCCTTCCCGTTGCTCATCTTGTCCCTTAAGGCAGGTAAGTACCAGGGAGAGGAAAGGTTGTTGACTCAAAAGAGACATACTACAAAGGAAGGAATAACAGCAGATCTAGTTAGAAAGAATGGATTACTTCCTATTGCAACATTCATTTCTTTTCCTCAGGTTATTTGCTCTTATTTATTTTACTATTAGATAAAAAAGAGAGGGGTGGTAAACAGTCAAACACTATCTAAAAGTTAAATCATGCCTGTACTTACAACATTAAAAGCCACTGTGATGCTTCTAAATAACTTAATATGTTCTATTGCCCTTGAGGGCATTCCCAAACTAGCATAGATCCACAGTGCATGTGAGCGTGTTGAGGGAGTCAGGGGAGAAGAAAATGAATTTGTGTTTTACATAAATAAGCAGAATTTACAAACATATACCATAAAGAATATCACTTGATACACAGAATACAATGAAAAATTTTAAAAACTCTCATTTTAAAGTGAGGAAACAGGTCTATATACGTGTAGTGCTTATTTTTGGTTTTTGTTTTGTTTTAGCACATTTCTCGAGACCAAACAGCAGGGTACTGACAGAGCTAGGACTCGACAGTGTATCTGCTAGCAACCTCTAGTGCACAGCTCAAACACAGTCCACAGCCTCCACCGGTAAAGAGGTTTTAAGGCATGTGGTAAAAAATGTCTTTTAAATTGGCATTTAAAAAAAATGTCTTTAATCACAGAATAACCAGCAAATCGTACTGGCAAACCAAGTAAGCGCTATAGTGGGAAGAAAACTTTCTTAAAATGAGATCTAGGCCAAAATATTTCAACCAGCTTCACCTTACATGGGCAGAACTGAGAACTGCTGACTTGGCATTACAATTCTCTGTAATACCATCTGCCCACCCTGTGGGAAGTAAGACAATATACATACAATCACACATTAGCAAATATAATTTGAAAATTAAAACTGTCTTCTGCTTCATTAGTACTTGCAAAGATGGTGAAAGAAATCAGGTGACACACAAAATATAGTACATACAGGGCTAGGTCTCTGCCAAAACATACTATAGTTAAGTGCACAGGCTCAGATGCCAGATCACCTGGATTTAAACCCTGGCTTAACTGCTTTCCCTATGTGTCCTGGAGCAACTTATGGAACTTTTCAGTGCCTCAGTCTCTCCACTGTAAACAAGAGAAAAGGAGAGCACCTACCCCAAATGATTGCTGTGAGAATTTTAAAAGTTCATGTATATGAGGAGTTTTATTGAGGAGCGTGCATTTTGTAAGAGGTCAAAAAATGGCACCTACTACGGTATTCTTAATTACTCCTGGATTGCCAAAGTCATGGCATTTTCATGTTAGAGTGAGGTTTTGTTCTTTCTTGGTAACACGGTCAGTATTCAAATGTAATTATCTGAAACCGTTTCTAGGGCATAAAATAAATCAAGAAAACATTAATTTTGGTGATTCAGAAGTTTCAATATCTAGTCTACAACAAGAGCTCTAAAGGCCAAAAATACCGGTCCTCTTTCAGGGACCAAAATGCCAGAATTATAAATTCTATGTATTTTAAATATAAATACCCAAGTAATAAAAAAAATTAGAAATAATTAAAAATAAAATATAGGGATCAGGTAGCTACCTAGATCTGGTTCAGCCTAACATGGGGCTCAGGCGTCAGTATTTTTAACAGTTCAGCAGCGATCTGGATACATAAGCGGAATTGAGAAATAGTGTACTAAGTATCACAACCTGGAACTTTTTAGGAACAGAGCTTTGCCTAACAGAATATTTCCAATTCCATCTGAAAACTAATTTCATGGACATACGTGACCACGTATGTTTGTAGGATGTTAGGTTTCCTAGTCGCTCTTTAAACTCTCACATAAAGAGACACATCTTCCACCCATACCTTTTCTGTTTTTGTCTGTCTCTTTCCTTTTTTGAAGAAGAACCCAAGTGCTGTCCTTTCTCCAGCTCTTCCCCGGCAGCTTTCAATACTCGTCCTTGCACAGAAGTGGGCAGCCTGGCGATGAGGGGGGCCACCAGCCACACGCCCCTGCGTTCAGAGGAACTAGAATCAGAAACAGATGTTACACCCGAGAAAGCCTCCCTTATCTCTGCTCTCACAGATACAACAGAAACTCCAAAGCAAAACCCTGATGCACAAGACTCACATACTATTCTAACATTGCCCTTTCCCTAATATCTTTCTTTTTTCCAAACACCAGACATTTGCATACACTTTCCATCTATGCTAACGGAAAGCACCAAAGGGTGTGGCTCTGGGAGGATATAACAGCTAACCTATTTTTTAGTGTTTTTCTATGATTCTGGCCCTCTCCTTAGAAACAATACTTTTGTCCAACAAATAATACACTTTCCCGTCATGGTTACAGTAGGAAATGTTATTATGTTTAAGCATACTTATAACCGATTTTTTAAGTTTTAAAATTCACTATTATACTTTATACCAAAATGATGAAACATAAATCAAACTGCCATTCATAATTAAAAAGTTACTCTAAGATTTCATATGCCTACAGGTTCTTCTAATTCTGAATATAAATTACCCTGATATACTCATGCAAAACTGCCCATTAATAAAAAAGGCAGAAAAAGTGTTTCCTATGCAATGAATATGACGAAACACAGTGGGGACTAAGAGACACTGAAGGCCTGAATCAAATCTGAACTCATCTGTGGTCCCAACATGTCTGGGCCGACTTAACCAAACACTTAGAATGATAGGATATCATCCACCCCAGTTTCACCCTTTAACTTATTAAATAATGATAATTGCCACTTACAAGTAATTATTTTCTTCACATTCCTTCAGCTTAATGACAAAATGATCGTGTTACACAAATAAAATTAATAGGTAATATGAAAAATTAATGATAGCCCAATAAAACGACAGGAAAAAATACCTTAGAAATGTCTTTATTCCATTCTGTCGTGTGCTACTTGTATCAGCACTTCCAATGCCACTTGGGTTGAAGAGGCTCATGCCAGAATTAGAAGAATTGTTATTCAGGTCTGCAGACTGCTGGAATACCTCTATCGTTGCCTTTGCAATATTGTCCAGTAAGTTGTTCATTTCAGCCACAGAACCAGAGCCCTGGAGGTAGACATAAGAGAACTAGCACACACATATTCCTTTATCCTCAAACACACGTTTTTGCTTTTCATAAAATTGTATACACACTTTCAATATATACTCACAGGGTCCTTCAAACACTGTTTGATCATTAACTGGAGTTCTAGCCAGGACTGTCTCAATGTCCACTGCTCAAGATTCTGAGAAAAATAGAAAGAATTAAAACATTAAGAATACTGAATATGTGTTAAAATATAATTCCTTGCAGTATTCCCTCTTTCAAGAATGAGAACAATCATATATAATAAAATAATTTATACAGGTCAATTATTGCGCATATTCAATACAGACACAAAGAAATATATATAGCAACATTAAAATAATGTGTCTGACTCAGCTAGGCACTAGAAATAAATAGGACAAGCATTTCTTCTCTCAGAATCTAGTTATCTAGCCAAGCTCAACCCAAAATGATTTCAATATTTCTTGAACAACATATTTAAGACATCTTCTCGACAAACTTAATTTCTCATGTAAATATAGGACCAACTTAAAACACTGATATTTATCTGAAGATTATATACAATTTGTAGCATCTGTATCTACCCAGCAATAAAGTGTGGCAATTCCACAGAAAATTGTGGGATTAAAAATCATAATTAATTTAAGTCAGAAATTAGTTACCAATGACCAAAAAAGAGAGATAGTGGCTCTTCTTATAATCACAAAGAATGTGTCAAATGACAGAAAGACAATCTTTAGAATATACCATTTACCTGAAGAATACGCTTAATGTGCTGTCTCTGCAGGTTGTCCCCCTCGGTACATTCTTTAATGCCATGAGGATAACAGATAAGCTGCAACAGTTTCTGTGCTTGCATATTCGAAAGCACAGGGTCCAATATAAGTTCTTTGTCTGTACATAATCTTTCAGGTTCTTTTAAGCAATGTTCTCCTACCCATTCCTATAAATAATATGGCAATTAGATCAATAGGCATATGTTGGCATATGTATGGTATTCTATAAACAGAGCTGGGGGAAAACGGGAATCTAAATTGAAAGCAAACAAAAAACAAATGAGCTCAATTCTATTTAAAATAAAGAACATACACACACTGAAAGGGACAGTTCAAATAACTTTTGAACACAATTCTGTAAACCTTTAGAGAAAAAGGAACTGCAGACAAATCTCCAACTCCTTTTAGTAGGTTTGTTTTTCCTAGAGGTATAGGTGTAACAATTCTAAAGCTATTTCAGGTGTACTGTAGAATTAAACAAATGAGTTAATGGGTTGACGTCATTGGGAATCAGGGTTCTTACTGTGAAAGAAGGTGATATTCATGTGGAATGGGGGAAAGTAAAGAACAACTTTGGCGGATTGGATTGGAATTAAAGGCATCAGTATGAACCCATAATTTTACACACACACATAATTTTACACACTCAACTCATATATACAGGTGTATTTTTTTCCTAGCTCTGTCTGCTGAAAGGTCCTGAAAGTAATGATATCCCATAGCAATGAGTACACATAGTACCCAGATATTGGTTTCTCAGTACCATTCTCTAGGGTTCCTTAGAGAAATGGGTGATTCTAGGCCTGGGGCAGAGAAAGTACAAGATAGGCCAGAAAAATAAGAAAGTACTTAATAAAAAAAAGATGGAAACATGTCAAATGATGCAAGAGACAGGATGAAGAGATTCGGCTAGACAAATCTGGGACAATTGGAACATGATAATAACTAAGGACAGTTATCTTATAAGCCATATGGGATAATCAATCAATCAATATAAGCCATATGGGATAATCAATCAATAAACAGGATGAAGAGATTCGGCTAGACAAATCTGGGACAATTGGAACATGATAATAACTAAGGACAGTTATCTTATAAGCCATATGTTGATAATCAATCAACAAATAATGGTAGGCTCTTCCTTAAAAATAAAACAAAAACTGATATTGCAGAGAGAGCGGAGGAGTTTGAGGGAAAAAAAACCCCACCATTTTTGCAATCATAATAGTAAAGACTTTTTGGATAAGAATCAAATGGATGCTTATGAGGGGTGGTGGGATTTGCTAAGGAGCAAGAAATTTGTAGTCTCAAAGTGTCTCCCCAAAGATTGTTTATTAATTGCAAGGGGAAAAATCATAACTATACAGTGGGAAAATCTTGAAACTATACAATGGACACAGCTTGATCAAAATTAACATCGCCAATGAGCTGTAAATGGACATCAAGGAACTTCAGATATGATTACCTGAAAGAACATATTACTTCTGTAGTATCTTGGCCAGGGATGCTAGTCTACAGGAAATCTCAGACAAATACAGTGCTATGGGGCCAATTAACAAAATCACACTGTGGGCTATAAATAAGAAAAAATTGCTATACCAGTGCTAAATTTTCTAATTTTTAATAACTGCCTTTTGGGTTATTTGATGAAATAAATAATGAAGTACTCAAACATAAAGAAGAATAAAATATGCCATGTACTCTTCAATTGTTCAGGAGAAAAAACCAGGTATATGAACTACATTTACCGAAACAAATAGAATTACAAAGCACATGTAGCAAAATGTAAAACATCAGTCAGTCTGTATAAAGGATATACTGGTGTTTTCTTTTTTTTAAATAATTCATGCAACTTTTCAGCAAATTTGAAATTATTTCAAAATAAAGCAGAAAATAAAAGGACCACCTGTATACAAGTTTCCTAAATTGTGAGTAGTTCGCTCTAAAAGAAGTTACATATCAAAAGGCAAATTAAATCAGAAGAATACCTGTTGACAGATAGTCCTCAGTACATATCTAGCATATTCTCTTAAGTTAGCAGTTTCTATGGAAATGCTTTTCCCACAGGCTTTTGAGTTTTGTGCGGCTGTCCAGACATCATCAGCATTCCCATCACGTCGTAACCCTCTCATGGTGAAGTCATCATTCTTTAAGGAGCTGACATTGTTACTGCCAATTTTGGCATCTCCTAAATAATAGAATCACAAAAGCAAAATCATAGAAGTTCAAAATACTGTCAAATATTTGAGAAGCAAATGAGACTAGTAGCTCTCAGGGATTTAAAATATGTGAATGGTATTATTATTATTGCATAGCCAGTTGTTCAGCAATAGAGAGAATGGATCAAGAAAATAAATGTAAGAATCCAGAGAAGTTTCTATCAGACATGGAAAAAAGCAAGTTCAAGACGCATTCCTTATTTTGTTTACAGAATTAAATATATTTTCAAATGTGGACAGGCCATTATGAATCACACTTAATAATCACAGAACATTGATTTCACCAACATCTCAAGCATGAATGTATTCAAATTCATTTGACTTATAGACAAGGAAAAAATGGGTTACTCACCCTTCTAGGTGTCCCTTTTCCATTTCTTCTCTTACAATGACTTATTTTCTATCCATAGGTCAAGAGAAAAGTTTTGCCTTAGCCCACCTTACTATCAACTTCTTGACAAGAGAGATTTATTTCCCTGGGAATGGAAAAGGGCAATGCATACTAAGGAAGCCCTGAAAAGTAGGGCATTCATTGAATAACCTATGTCTTTTACCTTCTTCTCTGTAACATCCAAATTAGAAAACCTTACCTGATAAATGTCTAATATACTCAGTGAAATGAAGCTAAGGAAAGTGTTTCCCTCATAACAAAGTTATAGGGGAAAAACTGGACAGAATGTTTGAATAGCTAGAAATAAGAAATGTTCTTTAGTTGTGAAAGACAAATAACAGTCACATTTTAAAAGAGTGCAACAATTTTGTAAAAAGGATTGCCAAATGACAGCAGAGCCTTTAAACTTTCGCCTATTTGCCCACAGTATCATAATAAGCTTTGAAAAGAAGTTTCCTGGAACCAACCAATGATTTTAGATAAGGCCTTCACTGCCTACAATAAGTACGCAAAACCAAGCCCAGGTTAGTGCAGAAAGTCTTTTAAACCAAGAGTTCAAGCAAGAAAAATTTTTAACTCTACTGAAAAAAATTTGAATGATCAGTATGGCTTAATGAGCATATACTTATAAAATCTTAAGAGGAGGGGATAAATATTTCAATTCATCCATATATCACATTACTTATTAAAATACAAACACAAAGAGTACTAACTTCACTTTAGCCACAGGAGTTAATTTAATTTAGCAGAGCTCTTCAGGGGCTGAAGGAAATATCAAATTCTAAAAAGTACCAAAAGTCATCAGTATCCTTTCTCCCTTAGGAGATATAAACAAGTATCTCTACACACAAATTAAACTACTATAGAAATTAGAAACAAAATTCGAGATAACTGTCCCATCTCCCTAACTCAAAATACATTCTGGTGGATAGGAACTGAGAGGACACTGATTAGGACATGATGAGGTAGATTAATTAAAACTTCTGCAAAAACAAAAACTAAGAAACAAACACCTTTGCCAGTCCCAGACTAGATCTTCATTTAGTTTAGATGTTGGGATGACAAGAGAAGGTCTGGGAGACTGCACCAGAACCCTCCGCTATCATATAGACAACAGGACAGTGTTCACCTGAGGCTGAGGCTCTGCTGACCTTCGACTGACTTCCCAGACCTGAGGAACTCTCCACATTATTTGCGTAAAGAGGTGGTAGATTTTACTTCGGATCAGAACAGTCATACAAATCAAGGGCCAGCATCTAGGTGTCTAGAAGGCACTCATCTAGGTTTCTGCCATAAAAATAGCTGTCACTTATGGGGATTCACATTTCCAACAAAATTTTATTAAAAACCTATTCTGCTAGTTTCTCTGATGAGCATTATAAATACCACAGGAAAAAGCCAGTCTCTATCTTCATGGTCCTAACATTTATTTATTAAGTAGAAGTGACCAGCTGTCTTTCCCTTCAAACATCAACACAGGAAAGAAATTTTACTCACTGAAATGAACATTTAACGTTGGCTATATACATCTCTAAGCTCCTAAGCTTAGAGGAGAGGCTGCAACCCTTGGTGTGCTCTATTTTTCCTTTTTATTACAAAATTCATGGGTATTTCAAAAGAACACACATATAATATTTTGTAATATATTATTATATAATAATACATATATGATATATATGATATAATATTATATATGATATAGTATTATATAATACTATATGTAATGTAGTATTATATAATAATAATGTATATGTAATTCCTTTCTTGTAGGTGAACTTTCAATAGTTTGTTTTATGAAAATTCTGTTATCCATCCTCATCATCACCAAATAACATTTCTCAAGCAGGACAGTTATCTCCTCAAGTATATTAAGACTCATATAAAACAATCCCTATCCACTCAGTAATTTCTGTTCTAATCAAAGGTAGCCCCTTCAGAACATAAGAGGTTAACTATCACTTAGTCAAGGCCAAAAGAAGGTGTCTAAAATTGGAATTAGGCAATCTGAATTCAAGACTTCCTAACCTTCAAACTCTTTATGGTTTATAGAATAATATTTTAAGGTATTACACTTCAAATGATCAGAAAAGGCAGTGCTACTACTACTCCAGGAGAATATATACAAATAATGTTAAGGATACCTTGGACATTATGAATTAAGTGAAAAAATTATTGTGATAGCTAATATCAGTTTATCAATAATATTGACATCATTGTAATTATTGCCTGATTCATGAAAAAATTAACACAGAAAGATTAAAACTTATTAAGGGTCACAACCAGAAGCAGAAACACTAAGATTAAAACCCAGGTTTTCTGGTGTTCTGATCCTAGAATATAATCCAGATGAAATTTAAACCTTTAATTACATCATCAAGTCAACCCTGTCCCTCACAAAATGTGGTTTCTGCCAGCAAATGAAGGTAAAACAACACTGTGGGTCTGAGGACCTATTTTACACAAGAGTGAGACATTATACAATTAAACCACCACATTTCTCTGTTATATCGAAATTCCCCCCGAATCACTGTAGGTAAAGGAGAGGATCCTCAGAGGATCTGACTGTACTTGGACTGTGGGAAAGCCAACTTATTTTTTTAGGAGGATAAACAAACAAACAAAACCATGTTTCCAATAATATTAATTAGATTTAAACCTGAACACAAATGATTTTTGCCTCCATTTCTGGTGATTAACCAAGAAGCTTAGGGCCAGGATAGTCTTACCAAGCATCATAATTGCTTTTAAAACAGCAAACACGGCTCCCACTTCAATGCTGTTGTGAGCAGCGGCTAAGAGGTGTCTATCACAAGATGATCTTATTCCAGGGAAAGGTTTGCCTATGAAAACAACAACAAACCTTTAATAGTCTCCTCACCATCATTAACAATATTTTGTAATCATTTACAGTCAGCAGAGCCTTTCATTGTTAGAGTGTGGGCACTTAATTGCCATTAGCTTGCTTTAATTGATACTTCACGGATCCACGAAGAAACACTGCCAGGATTCCTTACTTAACCTTTTCTTTTTAATTATTAAAGCAATGTCTTTGCTCCTCTGCGAGATGTACCAATAAGATTAGTAGGACTTTCATACACTTGTGCCGATTCTCACACCGACACATACGTATCTGTATAGAAATGATCTTTAAGAACACACTTCACTAACACCACTATAATTCTTACTTATTCCATTTACCTTAGTAAAGGAATAAATGACTCACCATTGCCCTAAGCTGACACGGTGTGGTTCAGAACCAACAGACACAGTCTATTAGAGGATTATGCTGCCCACCAGCATGGCTTGGCCTAAGAGCAGAGGTATTTTTATTGTGTATTAACTCTTGATTCATATTTCTCAATACATCCTGATATTACCTCAGGATGCTGACAGCCCTCTCAATGGCATTATCTCACGCCTTCATCACCCTCAGGCCAAACCCACAAAAATCAGGAAGGAAATTACAAGGGACAGTGTACTTGGTCATTTCAGAACCTACAGCTCCAAATGAAAACATTATCAGAGGTTTTTCAGCTGCCAGCTCACCCGTTGCTTGAGGTAAGAAGCAGGCCTGGGGAGCTCGGAAGAGGTGAAGCAGGAGTCGGCACGTCATTCTTGCACCGGGCTCAGCGTCCGCATCTCCACAAGCTGGGCGAGAGGGGAGAGGAAAAGCAAGTTACCTAAACGCATTCAGGAACAAGTCCCTCAGGTTTCCTCTTGAGCTAAATTTTGTGGAATCATATAAATTAGTCCTCCCTACAATATGAAAGTAAGGCCCTGGCTATACTTTTCTTAGAAACCTGAGTACTTGCTTAAACCAGGTAATGAAACAGCAGCTTCCAACCTTTTCCAACATGGATCCATGCTGCTCTGTATAAAACAACTATTACGATTCTACCACCTCTGTCTTGATACCACACCACTGCCCAGGCTACATTCCCTCCAATACTCCTCTCCCTCTGTTTTAATAGTTAAAAACCACTCCATCAAGACATCGACCAAATAACAAATGCTGTTCCGGGACGTCGCCTTACCTGCTGCGAGGAGAGAGGGAAGCGCAACGTGCTGCACGACGTCCTCCAGGGAAAAACACTGTCGTGCTATCAGAATAGCAATGAAAGTAGCTAATGAATCATGGAATGAAAGGTCACTCACCTTCAAGAAAAACATTGACAGGTTTTAATACCTAACAACCTTTTAAATAATATCTAAGATTAATATCTAAGAGCATGTAGGCAATACCAATAAGATCTCAAATCCCAAAATGAATCAATAGACGGAAATGATAACTTATCATGATGATTATCCTCTAGGCCTACTTCTAGTTCGTAAGACAAAGAAGGACGTTTGCCCATATCCCAATGCTGTCAGAAGAAACTGAGCTATAACTTGTGTCTATGCAATTGAAAGACAAAATAATAAAAATGCAAAATTAAGAAATCACTAAGAGGGCCGGGCGCGGTGGCTCACGCCTGTAATCCTAGCACTCTGGGAGGCCGAGGCGGGCGGATTGCTCGAGGTCAGGAGTTCAAAACCAGCCTGAGCAAGAGCGAGACCCCATCTCCACTATAAATAGAAAGAAATTAATTGGCCAACTAACACATATAAAAAAATTAGCCAGGCATGGTGGTGCATGCCTGTAGTCCCAGCTACTCAGGAGGCTGTGGCAGCAGGATTGCTTGAGCCCAGGAGTTTGAGGTTGCTGTGAGCTAGGCTGATGCCACGGCACTCACTGTAGCCTGGGCAACAAAGCAAGACTCTGTCTCAAAAAAAAAAAAAAAAAAAAAAAAAAAAAACAGAAATCACTAAGAGATGTAGCATAATTAAAACATTTTGGCAGAATATAATATGATCACTTAAGAGTCAGACCATTAGAAAGCAAGGAAAAACAAGGAGATTCCCTTTGTTGAAAAGCAAGCCTCACTAATGTTTTGAAGTTCCTTTCAGGGATAACTATTAAGGATTGTTTAATATGATTAATTTTAAAAGCATATCTCAAAAGTGTCCAATTGATTCCTAAATTTAAAAAGAAAGAAAGAGAAGAGAAAGGGGAGTAGAATGAATTCAGTCACCGTGAAATCTCTACCTTTGCAGATCTCACAAGACTTTGGAAGAAAATAATAAGAAAAACAGCTCTATAATAGCAACTTTCATATTGATTTGTACTATATGCCAGAGACTATGGTAAGCAATTTGAAAAAATCACCTCATTTAAATAGGACAAGACAGTGAGGCCCATACTATTATTAATTTCAACTTTACAGGTAAGAGACTGAAATAGAAGGTAAAGTGCAACAACCATCAGGTTAAGGAACTATGTTAAAAAAATTATGTCTTTTCTGTCTGAAAAAGCAGGCTACAGTTATGCATTATATATATATATATATATACATACACACACACACATATATAAAAAATCTATCTATTTCTATATATATAAAGGCCAGGTGCTATGGCTTACACCTGTATTTCCAGCAGTTGGAAGGCCAAGGCATGAGATGCCATAAAAATTTTAATTTAAAGGAAAAAAAAGTAGATCTGGACATTCTTATGAAACCAAACAAAATCTATATTCTCAAAGTGCATCTTGTACTCAAAATATAAAAGTGGTTCTTTTTAGAACATAAACTGATTTACTTAAATTATGTCCTATGCTATGAAGAATCCAAGGCACTTGGTAAAAACTCAGAACAAACAGCTGTGAAGAGACCATCCCCTATGCAAGAAATCTCAGCTAAATGGAAATTCAGGAAACAAGGAAACTCCTGGCATCTCTATTACTGATTAAGCTATCCATTCTATTTATTTTGATTTTTTTCCATTTATTTAATCCCTGGCAAAGTGACTGTGATTTATTGCTTTTGGACAGAGAAAGAAAAAATATTTTACAATGTTTCAATTGAGTCAATTAAACAATAAAAAAATTACCCATTAACTATTTAATTGCACAGTTTTAAATGAAAAAGGAAACTTACATCTACAGTGCAAAGTACATCATTAAACCCCCACACATGATTTGAAGAACAACAAAGAGCCTTCAGAACCCCCAGCCATTCGGAACTGAGAACGGTGCAGCAAGCTGTCAGCTCAGAGGAGAAATTCGCTATGTCGTTAATCCTGGAAAAGAAAAAGAAAACATAGAAAGTAACATTTTAAGAATTCATGTGATATACAAAATGAACACATATTTCACTACCATTGAATAAGTCATTCATTTTCTTAGATTAAAGGATATCATAAATATCTACTCGTCAAATAACTTAGAACCTTAAACAGAAGATAGAAGTTCAAATGTTTTCTGACAATTTATGCTGTTGAGCAACAAATAATGATCAGTATAGACATGAATTGGGATATTTTTAGTTCTGTGAAAAAGTCTACTAGGTAATTCAGGTAGGCAGAAATATATATATATATGTATATATATACACATATATACATATATATATATTCTGAAAACATACATATTTACTATTAGTATTACAAGTTTTTGAAAATGGGTAATATACTTATAGACCACACTGAAAACACCTCATGCCTGAGCAATAAGCCAAAAAGCACTATCTCTCAGGTTAAGGAAATTATAGGATAAACCAGAGGTAAATTCAGAAATAAAAGAAGATGAAAAAAAAACACAATGTGTGTGAGCCAAACATTAGCCCACAGAGTTACAAGGACTTTAATTTCCAACAAGCAGCAAGGCAACAATTCTTTGGTTAATCACGCATTCCAAGGTAACCCATCTCACCTTCCAGCGTCCTGATGGCCCATACATACATTCATGAGTGTATTGCAGACAAAGCTGTAGCGATTGGCCGCATTGTCACTGAGGATCTTGCCCAGCATTGAGTAGTTGATGCTACGGGCTGAGGGATTCTCGATGAAATCCATCATGAAGTCTGGATCCCAACGCAAGTTAGAATTTGCAGGCATCACATTATTATATATGGTTTGCTTTACTTTTGAACAGGCACTACTGAGGTTACAAGAAGAAAAGTTTTAAAAAAGAAAAAAAAAAAACTAGAATAACTGAAAAACTACTTCACTTAAGACATATGTTAACTGGCAGCAACTGTAATGCAATCCTAGACAAGATTCACAATGAGTTTTTAATTTCAACTTCTTACTCATCCCTACTGGTCAAAGTACCTGGAATGTAGTATTAGCTCAATAAATAGTTGCTGAATGGGTGGAAGAACAAAACAGAAGACAAGTCATTTGGTTACTGATTTTAACTACTTTCTAAATCTTTCCTACCTTTTATATGCTCTAAAAACCAAAGAATTTATTAAGGATTCCAACAATTATCTCTTAACGGTGTTTGGAAAGTGTTATTATTTAAAAATACGGATTTAAAACGGATTCAGCTGCACATCAGGAAAATTCAGTGTTTTGGTCCCAATTATACATCCTGCAAAACTATTCTTTCTAGGTAGCGAGGGGAAGTTCAAGTGCCGAGACTATGCTAGACACTGAGGCACAGAGGTCAAAAAGGGGCCCACTCCCTGCCTTTAGGAAGCTTACATTCCAGTAGGGGGATGAGGACAATACGTAAATTCTATGCCAGTGAATAAACTATTATATCAGTCCTAAAAACTTACCACGTGTGTTTCTCAGCAGAATTAGGAGATTTATAAGAGCCTGGTCTATTATAAGAAAATAGTTCATGTTTCCATGAGTTACATCTGACTCAGATATAGAATCATTAGAAGTACGAATGGAATTAGAATGATCTCCTCCAGTCCTGCCCTGTAGATAAGACGACTGAGGATGATCTGACTTCAAAGCTCAGATTCCATATAAACTTAGCTATTCATACTCACTCGCTATAAATAGCAAATCCATAAGCAACATTCAGCTTCTCTATTCAAGAGCTCTTTTATGCAGCAGAAAGTCTGTTTTTTAGATTAAGTTTTTGGCAACACACACATTTGTGGTTAAGATGATATATGGATTTTTATTTTTAATTTAATTTTTTTTTTTTACTCTGTATTCTTAAGTACCTACATAAACAGTAGCCAGGAGTGAGCCCCTCAAAAAATGAAAAGGCATATAGACTCAGTACCTTAAACTGCTGCATGGTCGACAGTTTTAACAGAGATAGCTCAGTTCAATGTTTACCAAAACGTGGCCCTCCTAGTTCAGAATCACTTTTGGGTTATTTGTTAAAGATGGAGATTCCTGGGCCTCAGTGTAGATGTACTGAATCTGTACGTTTAACAACATAACCCAGGTAAATCTAGTGCCAAATGATGCTAGAAGCACTGGTCTAACAAAAGGACACTAAAGTCACCCAGTAAATACCAGTAATTTCAATCTTCTACTTTTCCCATCTTTGCAGACAACTTATGTAAAAAATTGTTGGCCATCACTGAAGTATACAAGTTCACAATTTGGAGTACTGACATTTTTGAAACTATGGCCATTATATAGTTGCTGGTTCTTTTAAACATCTCATTTCCCGTCTTACTCTTGTCACACATTCTACTCAACTTTACATTCATTTTCACCTAGCAAGAGTTCATAATTTGTTTCACTTTCTCATTAAAAATGAAAGAAAAACAAACTTTGTGCTTTGCTATTTCCCTCCTTATTACCACATCGCTGGTTTCCTCTGCCTCCCAGGACCTCTGTACTGCCTAATGAAACAGACTTTGGCACACTGCAAAGCATTACCTCTTTTTCATTCAACTTCTCACTTACTTCTGCCATCTATGCACGTCAGTCTTTAGAAACCTAAAAAATTCTGCTTACCTATCTTAATTTTTTCATAAGATTTTCCCTCACTTTTCTTTCAGAATACAGACTTCTCTAGAGTTGGCTCTCCATGACCTCCAGCATGGAACACATATTACTGTGAACTCAAGCTCACGGTAAAGTCTCCTCACACTTCATTTCTAGGCTTCCTGTCTCATTACACTCTTGCTAGATAAACGTTTATGTTTTAATAGACATTTAGCTGCTATTTAGATCACTTTATAATTCTTACCACTCTCTGCTGCAGACACATATGGAATTAAGCTAATAACTAAAATGTTCCTTCTGAAATTGCATATATCAAAAACACCTGGTAGAGTAATGAAAACAACACATACCTAGAAGCCAAAATGATCTGTTTAAATAAAGGTTTCATCACTTATTAACTCTCAATAAGGAACAATCTTTGTTGATAGGGAAAATCATTTCCACTTCCTGGGGTTGATGTGAGAATTAAAGATCTTGATGGAAATAACCCAGCACAGTGCTTGGCATACAGCGGAAGGTCAATCAATCATAGACGTGATCAGTGTTGTACTTCCCCCAAATACTCCTTTCACACAATTTTATGGTGTTTCAGATAAAATTTATTGACATCATTTTATTAGTATGCTAATGGAAATCTCTCTGCATATGTTGCTTTCATTTGTCATTTATTTTTTCTTAATCCCAAACTACAAACAGATCAATGACTTCAAGATAATCTAAGAAAGCTGCTTAGAGTAAACAGAGAGGCCACTTAAAATGGGATGGTCAGGGAGGCAGAGTTGTGAATGAAGTGTGAAAGTGAGCATGCAAGGAACTGTGGAAAAATATCACAAGCAAGGTAAGAAGTAGGAGTACACGTAGAGTGTTTGCGGACCAGTAAGGGGGTCTGAGTAGCCAGAATGGAGTAAGCAGAGGGAGAGAGGTAGAAGAGAAGATTGCATGCTGTAGATCTTAAAGGCTAGAGAAGGACTTTGAATTTTATTCTGAGTAGATGGGAAGCCACTGGAACCTTTGGAGTCATTGTTGTTTTAAAAGGATAACTTTGGTGGATATATTGAGAATATGCTCAAGAGTCAAGGGTACAAACAGGGAAACTATTAGAAGGACTCTGCAATGGTCCAAGTAAGAGACAACCATGGTGGCAGTGATACAGATAGTAAAGAGTGATCAGATTCTAGATAAACTTGGAAGGCAGAGCTCACAGATTTATGAACAAACTGGATGTGAGATATGAGAGAGCAAAGAAAACTGTAATTGATCACTCTTTTCTTATCTCCTTCTGGATTCCAAATTTGTTTTGCCAACTAGTATCTTCTCCCATTCTCCTTCCACCTGTAATAATCTAAAATTTCTCAAAATAATACTTAGTAAGTATCTACTTTTTGGCATCTGTAATGCCTGTGGGGTTAGTGCTGTGATACAAAGAATGAAAGGGAGTTAGGAAAGCTATTTAAGAAAGGATGGTCAAGGAAGCAGAGAGACAAATGAAGAAGCAAGCATGCAAACCGCTCTGAAAGAATATTCTGAGCAAGGTAATACAAGTGTAAAACACTGAATATTTTCTCTCAAGTTTATCTCAAAATTGCAATCATAGCTGAATAGACATAGTAATTTGTGATAGGTTATAACTACAGCAAAAAGGAATTCAATAGGAATTCTGGGTAAGGGGATTGAGAAGATAAAAATAATTCTAGAAATAAAATTTTCTGGCTCTTTAAACACTAAAATACTCCTTAAATGGTAAGATTTAGGGGCAGGAATAAAATTCATGACCTGATAATAATAGCATTTAAAGTACAAGATAGAAAGTAGGTGAACTGCAGAGTTTGGAGTATCTTTTTATAATTACTTCAGTTTTTTTTTTTTTTATACTAGGAAACATAGGATAGTATTTACCAAGTTAAATTTGAATCAAATAAAATGTATAATACAAGGCAGGTTGCCTGACTTAATGCACATTGATTTAATGTTACTCAACAAGGGTACTGGTCATTTTTTAAAACACTGAACACATTAAGAAGTGATTTACTAAATAGTAAATTATTTTTCTAAAAAAATAAGAACAAAAGTAAAAACAGCCTGGAAAAGTTGTAGAAGAGTGAATTGGGGCTATCGAATCTTCTATGAGTTACTAGGAAATGAAAAATCTTGCAACGTTAAGATGCCCAGAGAATATTAAAGCTATCCAAAGTAACATAAAAAGACAGCTCAGAAACTGATATCAAAACCAAGAGGGATAAAAATCCAGCAAAATGCAAAAAGCTGCTTTATTGAACCATCTATTAGGTTTATGATTCAATTTGAGTTTTAAATTTTAAATGTAAAAATACATCAAATATTCACTACTTTAGTATGACATACCTAAAATCTGTAAAACTTATAGAGAATGTAAAATCTTAAAAATACTTTATTTGTTGAAGAAATAAAATTAGGGAAAGTTGGATAAGTTTATGAGCTAATGTCATTTCAATGTAAGAAAAACCTATATTCACATATTTATATTGTGTAATGGTCTATTTTTCATTGTCACTATTATTTTAATATTCAGCATAAGCAAATCTTGAGCATATCACAATTACTGCCTGATATAATTAATAATTATTTTTCATGATTAAAAAGGGTGACAATATTGGTAGGGTCACTAACAAGCACAGACATGATAACATTTCTGTTCTTCTGACTTTTCTTCTACCCACCTGAAGAGGTCTCCAAATTTACTTCTGAGGTGGCTACATGACACATAGAGATCATAGAGGTAGGCTAAGATGCATCTTTCAGGGGAAGAACATTCTGAGGGGTTTACAACATGCTTTACCACACCACACAACCTGAGGAGAAAAATAGATGAAGAAATAAGACACATGTTTTGCTAATAAACATGTCATCATTTGATTAGTTTAGAATGAGAATATGGCCATGTATTACTTGGGTAAGAAAAAAACATACCAAATTGTTGAAACTCATCATTACGGCAAACAGTGAATAACTGAATACAATATCAGTTTTTTTCTATTATGTTATTGAAATAGTAGATATGAAAAAAATCTTCAGAAGTGTCATTGACAACAAGAAACAAAGCAGTGAAAGAAGATCCTCCATATAAAAGGCATATATGAATGAAGGAATCCACCAATTATGTTGCTGGTACAAAGAAAAAAAAAGGAAAGTCAGTAGTAGAGAATCTCTCTTCAGTAAAAACATTCACAAATTCAGTTTGCCAAGATTCTCAAGTTTACTCCTTTGCAAAGGAGCAATTCTTCAAATTATTAAATCTGGGAAATCCATTTACAAGGGCATGAGCTGGTTCTGGCATGAACTTGATGAATTCATGGTTTGGAGTCACAGTCCCTGTTTATCTAAACTAGAAACAAATTTATTCTAAGTTTATCTTACGTAAGAAGATAAAGCCACCTCTTTTTTGAGGCATTCTCTATAACTCAAGTTCAGAAGTACCATTCCGACTCCAATTCTGTGCCAATCTTTCCCCAATCTGAACTGTTGCCTCTTTGTCCACATTTGATAAAACACAAAAGGCCATATGGCACAGAAGTAAACACTAGTGGTCCATCCACCTACCGGTGAGTCTGATTGCACTACCATCTTACATTTCATTACAGGATTCAGCCATAACACCACACTGACAGTGTCAAAGGTGACCCAGATTATTAAAGTGAAAAGGGCTTTAGAAATCATTGGTCACCTTCCTCACTGCAAAAAGAGGGCTGTGAGGTGCAGAAAGATGAAGTGACTTGCTGAAAGGCAAAGAGCTAGTTCATAGCAGAACCAAGAGGAGACCTTAGGTCTCTGGAATCTCAGACCAGACTTCTTCTCTCTGCTATTCAGAGGGAAGTAGGAGAGAGCCTAAGATGTTAAGGCCAAGAAACACAATGGACTCAGATATCACAGGTGGAACCCAGGAGACGACTTGAAGAAATGGCAAAGGAGTATTCTAGTCCCTGTGAACTGACACCACGGATGGGGCCACCTGACAGCTGAAAAAAAGCTGATTAGAACAAAATGGTCACATAATTAAGAAATAATGACTTAATCTGTTAACCACATAAACTATAAAAAAATCCCTATACAACCTATAAAGCAAAGACTTACTTTCTGACTAAAGTAAACAAGCACTTATTGAGAGTTTGTTAGGTACCCATTGTAGCAGTCAGTATTTCCCCAACTTCTTTGATTTGCTAGAAATAAGAAACATATTACATTGTGATTCAGTACACTTATTCACATGAGTCAAAAAAAACTCATAATAATAATTTTGTGGAATATACTTGTCCTTACTATGTATGATAGAGTAAAAATATAATTTAAAATGCCAAAATAAATTATACTGAAATCAGTTGCAAAATAACACAAAAAACAAACAAAAACTACCCGTTACAACCCATTAAATGTATTTCATGAAGAACTAATGGTTTTCCATACACTATTTAAAAAGCAGGGTACAAAAAGCATGAATGAGCTCCCAGATAGAAACACTTTTTTTTTTAGCTATGTGGTGTTGGGTATATCACTTCACCAAACACTTCATTTAGCAAGCCTGAGTCTCAGTTTTTTGACCTAAAAAAATGATTCTAAAAATTCAAACCTTACAGAGTAATTGAGTTACTAATTAATTCTGTATTTCCTTAATTCTAAGATGCATATTTTCTCACATTTTTAAAAGTTTTTGGGATGCGTCAGATTTCACTTCCTAATGTACAATATACATAAAAGGTAGCATTTTGTTTACCCCAGAAGAGCTATTAAATTGATGCCACTCTAGAATAAAGTATAAATTTATTATACATGCTAGGTTATTTTTTAAAAAGTTACATGAAACCAAAGAACCCCACGATTCTTTTGAGCCAGGTGGAAAAAATGAAAAAAGAAAAAGAAAAAATAGGTTGTGTTTTAAAAAAAAGCTCTGAGGGAAGGACAAGGGAGTGGACAAAAAGCAGTTTAAATAGGTTTTTGAGAGCTCATTATACTTCTTTGGTCCCCTTAATCTCGACTCTAATGCAGATATTAGGCAATTTATTAGGCCAACTTCACTAGTGGTAGTGTAGTATACCCTGGCCTATAGTACATTAAAAAAAAAAAAAAAAAAAAGGACTCAGAATGAAGAAAGTCATTTGTTCTAGGTTAACTCTTATCAAAAGAGATTTTAATTAATCAAATAAATAAAAGAACAAAATTCCTAAGATGACAATGTGTGCAAAGTTTATCGGGTGTTAGATTCACTAAATATAAACTGAAATCACATGAGTGAAGAAGCTGCAAGTATTTACTATTCACATAAGCCATGATGCTGGGTTGTGCTTTAAATGACTGCCTTGTCCTCTTATAAACCAGGGGGAGGAAAGGAAGGAAGGAAAAGAATCATGCTTTATTAAAAAGAACATATTCAATATGCTTACATCTCCTCTGATAAATGTTTTCTGGCAAAAGCATTCTTTAACTATGTTTTTACTGAAACAGGCATTAATACTATTTTTCTCTTAAAACTACTATTTCATCACTAATTATACACTCTAGGACTGGGAAACCAATAATGACACCTTGTATACCAACCCTTCAAACACCTGGGCCGTCTGATCAGGATTCAGGATCAGACAACTATGATATCTCCTGAGAACAGCCACGATGCAGACACACAGTCCCGTTGTGTAACTTCCTGCCAGGCTGGAAGATTTTAGGAGCAGCTCAGCTTCCACAACACTCAGTTCATTTAGTAACTACAACAGGAGAAAAGATTGAATAAAAATGTAGGTGCCAAAGCAAGCAGGAAAGATACTTATTTTATAAACCATGAACATACTGAGTCATTTTAATACATACAACCAGAGTCTCAGAAAACATTCCCCAAAGAATTAAATTGTTTTTTATTTTTAATCCTTTTCCAATTTATAGACTTGTTCCTCTGTCTAGACATCAGGATGTGTACAATCAGGAAGTGCTCAGTACTGAAATAAGTTCTGAAACTTTATGGCAGCCCATACTTCTAGACTGGATAATTTTAGAGAACATCCCCACTCCTCAGTTCTTCCTCCCTTTCCCCCTTCTTTTTAATAAAATGCAAGTTATTTGTCATTATTTTCTCTTTATTAGCAAAGTTAACACCTCTTATGGAATAAGCAAATAGAAACCGAGTCTTATTTCTATTCACTAATACCAAAAAATAATTAATGAACTCAAATGTGCATAAAAAATATCGTGGGATAAGGGGTTTTGTTGGTTTTTTTTAACTTTTAACCTAAAATATACTCTATTATGGAAAGCAAATAAACTTTCATCTTTCCTTAAGTAAAATAACAAAAGACCAAAAAGTCCTCAAAACTGTCACATTTTTACAGAATATATTTTAGCATTATTTTTAGTTATGTAATAGAAAACTGCGAACATAGCTACAATTAAAAATAGTTGAAACGTGTTAATTCAGATTGTCTCAATTATTTAAACACGTACTGTGTCCTTAAAACAGTGTTAGTGTACAACAACTGACTCATTTAAAATGCCAATATGCCTGAAAGGTTTGCTTTCCTAAAAATAAGTTAAGACAAACACGGTCTCTTTGACACCTGTATTGCAAAATCGATTAGTCCATTGATGTTCAGTGCTGGCTCCATGAGATCAAAGATGAGCTGAATATGGTGAGCCAATGGGAGATGATAGGATGTTCCGGAAGCAAAGCTTGTGATTTGTTCCAGCACATTGTTAGAGATCTGTGCAAACAATAGTGAAAACAATAGTGAAAACAATAGTGAAAATAATTATAAGACCAATATTCATTCCAAACAATATTTAAATTAAATTATTTTAATTTTATAAGTGAGACATTTGAATTTGTGTGATTCTATTTGGATGAAAGTTAAAACGTATTATATTTCTAAAAAAATGAAAACAATGTGCAAATCAAATAACCTCCTTACAACAACTATAATTTGAAAAAATACAACAACTTGTCCCCTTAAGATATAGATCTTAACTATTCTAGTGGTTTGCAGTTGCAGGACAACTACAAATATTAATTTTTAGATGCATTTTTAGACGTAGTTATAGAACTAAAAATACTAATTTTTACATGACTATTTGAATATGAATAGATTTATAAAGCAAAACATATCTGGTTTCTTTTCAATTTTATAGTATTTTATTTCAGTTATCAACAGATGTCTCCCTTATCAATAGCAATGTAGGACCAAAATGTAATAGCATTAAGTATTACATTGGGGATTATTTTATATATTGCTATTATCATAAAGTAAAAATATTTACATGTAAAAATTAATTCTTCTGAGAAAGGCAACCTGACACTTAAAAACAAACTACCTAACAGTTTGAGATGCTTCCAAGTATGTTTATAAAATGTATTGATTAAATCAATTGAGGCAAAATTATATTGCATGAAAGCTATGCTTAACCAGAATATTCCAAATGCATAATAAATCAGCTTTAAATGGCTACCTGTGATGTCACTTGATGCTGATCAAAATATGAGAGGAGTTGGAGTTTTGTGAACACAGTCTCCAGTGTTGGAAATGCTTCTTGTTTGTTTTTCCTGGATTTTTGTCCTTCATCCCCAACTAAATTAAACATAAAGTAGGTAAATTATTTGCCATTTAATAGAAGCTCTAGACTTTTTAGTGGATAATTTTTATTAAAGAATGATATACCTAAAAAGTACACATATTCTTTGAGTTTCTAGAAAATAAATACACACATGCAATGAAACTCAAATCATAAAATAATATTCTAGAACCCCAGAAACCCCATCTGGTCTCTCTAGTAACTTCTCTTTCCCCAGAGGACCAAGATCCTGACTTCTAACAGCTGGGATTACTACTGCTCACTTTGAAATTTTATATAAATGGAATTATACAATATATAATTTTCACTGCTGGCATAATGCACTCAATATTATGCTGTTAGACTGATTCATACTGTTGAAATTATTTTAATTTGTTCTAAAAATTAATCGTTTTCACCTATGTATAATATTCCAAGGTGTGAATATACCACCATTTATCTATTCTAGTGAATAATTCCTAAGTTTTGTTAGCATGAAAAGTGCCTTTATATGAGCATTTCTAACTAAATGACTTTTAAATTAAGATGATGTTCACAGTGAAAGGCAAAGGGAAATCTACTCAGCCTCACTCTGACATAAAAGGACCCTTCGTTGGCATCTTCTTTGGAGACTCACCTTGATACTTTTCTGAATCAGCTTAAGATGTTTAAGAAAAAAAAGAAAAGAAAAGAACTTGACATGATTCCTAACTTTTTTTTTTTTTTTTTGAGACAGAGTCTCGCTTTGTTGCCCAGGCTAGAGTGAGTGCCGTGGCGTCAGCCTAGCTCACAGCAACCTCAAACTCCTGGGCTCAAGCAATCCTTCTGCCTCAGCCTCCCGGGTAGCTGGGACTACAGGCATGCGCCACCATGCCCGGCTAATTTTTTTATATATATATATCAGTTGGCCAATTAATTTCTTTCTATTTATAGTAGAGACGGGGTCTCGCTCTTGCTCAGGCTGGTTTTGAACTCCTGACCTTGAGCAATCCGCCCGCCTCGGCCTCCCAAGAGCTAGGATTACAGGCGTGAGCCACAGCGCCCGGCCGATTCCTAACTTTTTTAAGGGTAGCAAGGAATTAAGTCACTCCACATTAATGGGAAAGTGCTATATTTGTCAATTTAGCATGAAGAGGTTTGAAGAAAATTCCAACTAAAAAAAATTACATTGTTTATTCTAGGTGAACTCTTATCCTTCTTAACAGTTCTAAGAATAAAATCCAAAAATAGATTCAATCCTGGTTTAAAATATTTGTATACTATGTATTTACAAAGAAATATCTAAAAACCAAAAGGAAAGCTGGATTATATAATCTCTAAAGTCACCTTTAACACTATGATTCTAAGTAGTTAAAGCTAAGAGCTCTATTACTTGCATTGTCTTCTAATTTGGGAAAGTTTAATTTCAGAGAACAAATGTCACTCTACAGATTTCTATATTAAAGATAACAAGAAGTGAACAAGAGTTCACTGAACTCAAAAATATTTTGCTGATGACAACTATGATGGTTTTAAAAAATAACAGAAGGAAAGAAACTTCCCTTTCAACAATAAGAAATTATTATTTAGACTCAAAAAACAAATAAGCCCTGATACCAGAGTGAAACAAAATTAAAAGGTACTGAAGTAACATAAGTTACAAGCCTGTACCACTTTTGTCAAGTAACAACAAAGAACAAATTCATCAAACCTTTTTAAATATCTAAACCCTAAGTACAAATTAAGCATGGAATTATGCTTTCACTATAGCCGCTCACATGTCATGAACATATTTAAAATATCCAAATTTTTGAATTTTTCATTTATTGACATCTTTGATCCAAGGCTGAAGACCTCAATCGTCTTGTGTACAAAGTGCTTTAAAAGTGGAGTTAATGTATTAATTGAGTACTTTCTGAGCCCCAAACAAAGAAAAACAACATAATTGAGGAAGCAGATCCAGCTAAGAACTCCCAAATGCACCTTTCGTTTGTGTTAACAGGCATCATTTATGTATATATTGCTAACTTTTCAAACCTCATCTAAAAGGATATAATTGATTCTTGGCAATATACATCCACTTAAAAAGAAAAATATAAAAAATTAGTGATGGTTCTCAATACATTAATAATATTGACATGATTAATAATGCCATAATACATAGATTTTCTTCATCTGTTTTATGTTAATTAGCTCTTTTGTTGCTTAATTTTGATTTTCATTTTTTAAATCTTTGAGTCCTGAAAGTTTTGGCCTTTTAAAGATTGCTATAGTAAACTTCATTAATATTTTCAAGACACACCACTGGCAACCAAAAAAGATGACTAGTCGATGCAAATGGAAAATGACTTCGTTTTTTAAGAGACAGTTTGGCTCTGTCATCTAGGCTGGAGTGTAGTGACAAAATCATAGCTCATTGTAGCCGCAAACTCCTAGGCTGAAGTGATCTTCCTGAGTAGCTGGGAGTACAGGCATGTGTCACCATATCCAGCTAATTGTTTTCATTTTTTTTTTTAGAGACAGGATCCAGCTATGTTGCCCAGGTTCGTCTAGAACTCCTAGCTCCAAGCAATCCTCCCATGTCACTGGGATTATAGGTGCGAGCCACCACAACTGGTTTGCAAAATGAAATGGTCAATCTCTGGTTGACCATTCAACGGGAATGTTATTTAAACTTTAGATGATAAATTTCCCTAGGTAAGGCCTGGCTGATCTGACAATACTCTTAATGAGTTGAGTCCTCAAAATATTATTTTTTGTTTTTTCAGAAAGTAAACACATGCTAACACAAGTTCTGTTTACCAGTCCTCAATTTGCTAACAAAAGTGGACAAATTTTCATTAATCTGAAGTATAGTCAGTTAGCTTCTGGTGCACATACTAAATTTTAAGTAGTGATTTAAAATTAAGACTATTTATCAGAAGGCAGCTCTCTACATAACAAATTAACATCTTTCTGGTAAAGGAATCTTATGTAAAATGAAGGAAAGACAAAAATCCCCTTGCAGATGCTGTCCCACAGTGGTGTTTCTATTATTAATACAGGTTGAGCATCCCAATTCTGAAAATCCTAAATCTGAAATGCTCCAAAGTCCAAACTGTCTGAATGCAGACATGATGCCACAAGTGGAAAATTCCATACCTGACCTGTCACAGGCTGCAGTCAAAACACAGGTGCACAACACACTTTATTAAGCACCCCCAAGGGAAAAACAAAATTACTTTCAGGCTATGTGTATAAGGTGTATATGAAACATAAATGCATTCACATTTAGGCTTGAGTCTCATCTATAAGATATCTCATTTTGTATATGCAAATATTCCAAAATCTGAGACACTTCAGGTCCCAAGCATTTTGGTAGGAAATACTCAACCTGTATCTCAAAAACAGCACAGGACAACAATGATTTTCTTATTTTGAGTTCATATGCCTGAACTGCCTATTTAAGGGCCTGATACAAAGATAAAAAAAAAAAAAAAGACTATAGCATTTCATTAAAAAAACTGCAAAGGAAGTAAATAGACTCGACAGAAAAGAATCCACATTCCTTCCTTCCTCTTCCCCCCCCCCCAACATTCCAAAATCCAAAATTCCACAGGATCTGGAAAAACCCTCAGAAAGTAACTTAGATAAACAGGTATTACTGAACCTTTTAAAGTGCCCCCCCCCCATTTCTAATTATATGAAAAGTAGTTTCCAATAGTCTTTGCTAGCTAGTTGCAGGGTTTCTAAATTCAGCCTTCTAAATGCAACCCATTTCCTCTTTTCTCTAAGAGAGAGAAAAAAACAGCAAAATAACAGATAAACAGTTTTCTTAGACAGAGCACTTTCTTTTTCAAGCTCAATAACAACAAGCCAACAACAAGCAGGTTTCATTTCCCTTTCACAACTCTCTGCTGTTCCCTTAGACAGCCAGTGTTTTTCAAAGTCCTTAGCTGGCAACGGAAGGGCATCAGGAAATGTGATGTAAATGATAAGCAAGTAACTTTCCCAACAGGTATTAAGGACCATCATCTCCAACATGAGATACGCAAAACACCATAGGCAGACTGAAAAACGTGTTGTCCCTTGTACCATATTTCTGCGTGTGCACCCCTATTGACTGACTAAGAAGAAAAAGAAGCTATCTACATTATTTCTATCTGCACTTTTCTCTAGGAAAGATCTAGTGTGGACAAACTCTAGCAATTTATCCTGTTAAAGTCTAAAGTCTAGGTCCCCTGTCAAGAGGTCCATAAATGTTATACAATTGTTCACCCAGGAAAAAAAGGTTTTAATTTAACAAATTAAAATATTAAAAAGAAAAAAAAAAAGAGGTCCATAAAAAAGCATTTTGTACTGAAGTAGGGTTCCTGGAGACGGTTCACAGCATGCGTGGGAAGAATGTGGTTTACACGGGGCAAACACAAACTTTCTTTTCTTTCTATTATTTAAGTAGTAGGGAAATAAACACCAGCGGTGGCAGAGGAGTATATAAAATGATATCATACTTTAAATCATCTGACTGCCTCATGAAATAAACCCTGAAAAGAATAATTAGGCAAATGTGAAGTGGATAATTGTAAAATTCCAATTATGCAATGTGCTGACATAATATAAAGGCAAGGCTTCACTGTAAAAACTATATTAAAAGGATGAGGAAAGAGCATTCCAAATAAAGAAGGCATTAGAGGGCAAAGACCCAATTTTCTATTTTACTTTAAATCACTTGGTGATATAGGGAACCGTCACTATCCACTGCAATTATATTTCTAAATCAGCAAATATACCGCCATGATTTCCAATTAATATGCAAATATGAATGCCCCGCAACAGCAGCAAACTATAAGCTTAAAAAATGATCATAAAGAAATAGGGAAATGGACCTCTTCCAGACTAAGGGTTTTCCAACTCATCCTTTAATGCTTCATGTATTACTACTGCAGAAAATTTGGGAAGCATAGAACAGTAGAGAATACATCTACCTACCGAATACAGTATTTTAATACAAGGATTACTATAAATGGAAACAAGGCCTTAAAACTTAAATGTGCTTATTCACATTTCAATGGATAGTCATTCAGAAGAGGAAACACTCTGGTGACAGTGATAAAAACTGTGCTAAGAGGGAAGGCTAGACACAACACAATGGGAGCAAACACAAGAAGGCCCTTTACCCCCTGTCTCTGTGGTGCTCTTCTTATTTAGGATTTTCAGGATATCTTTGGTAATCTTCTTCAGCTGATGCCTTGCCTCCTCACGCTCCTTGCCAACTCCATAGAGAAGGATTGTGCGTTGGTTACATTCATGACTTGAAGATTCGTCCTGAAAAACAGAAAATGCACTCTGAAACCCTTGGCTGCAGGGGTGGGGCTGCATTTCATATCCCTGAAATGCACTAACCACAGCCTCTCCATGCTGGCTTGCAGTGGTGGCATCCTGCCCTCCCTTCAACTCTCCTCAACCTCCACTGGCAACACCCTTGTTTTTCCAGTTTGGATTTTGCTAAAGTAAAAAAAAAAGTGACAACTGACCTGAAGTGTTAATGGAAGCACTCGATGTGGGCGTACCCTACAGAGTAAGTTTTGGCTATTGAAAACCTTTTCATTGCTTAAAACTGAACATAGTATTAATTGCACATCATGTAACATAACTATCTAGTCATACTTTTCCTTAAGGAGAGTATTATTTCTCTGTAAACCTGCTTATTTATATATAGCAATAACAAATATTTTATACTTAGGAAAACAAATCATGCTAGGATCCTCAAACATTTTTATAAAAAATATTTACTTCCAACTGGACTGTGTGAGATACATATATATTTACTTCCAAATGACAAAACAGTAAAGCACAGAGGTCTCAAATAGTTAAAAATGCAACCACCACCATGCTTTCCTTTTGGATCATCTCCCAACCCACAGCGAATTCAAACACTATTTTCCCCCCACATGAGAAAGAAAATTATTTAATCAGAGCATAACAAAAACATACACACACCAGTGCACACATTTCTTAGCCAAAGTTAAGTAGTCCGGGATGTGTTCTCTCTCTTATGCCTGGCATTGGATTTTTCTATTCCAATTTCTCCCTTGGATCTTACAGATTTCCATTTTTTTAGAAAATTTCTAGCTCTACACTTCCATACCTCTCCTTTCCTTACTCTTTGTACATCTTTACCCTTTCTATCAGTATCTATCTTAGCCTAAGGAGCTGACATGAGAAAAGAACTCACAGAGAAAACAAACCGCACTGTGTTCATAATTAGCAGAGGCTGCAACAAACAGCAAAAACCTCAGACTTGGAGAGCTCCAATGTTTGATCCCAAGTTCTTCACCATGTGTACTCTGTACAAAGCAGCATTTCACTTCTGCAATCTTGAATTAAGAGCCTGTTTTCTCTCCAGTTCTCTGTCACTTTGCCCTTGATCTCTTTTTGTCAGTCTGTCTTGCTCAGGCATACACTTGCTACCATTTCCCATTGCACTGGTTCCTTTTGTATTAAACACTACCAGAAACAGACATCTGTAAACCCTGCTGATCTATCTTGCCACACCCCTAACCCCAAATAATTCTTAACATTTCAGGTGTTCAAATTTGCTTCTATAAAGGGAAAAAGAAAAAAAAAAAAAAAGCTAGGGGCAGGTTTCATCCAGAAACTGTTTTTATTTAACATACTGAGTATCTAAACCTCTCCAAAATTTTCAAAAGATAGCCCTAACTGTAGGATAGTGTCGACATAGTAAGTGATTCTTACATGTGGCTGCACATTCCAATGAGCTGAGCTGCTTGCAAACCTCAAATTTATGTTGTTGTTTCAGAGCATTACTGATATATTTCCTTTTTGTCTGCCAGGATGTGTGTATGTGAGCCCTGTGAAGGAACAGTAGGGCCCTGAGAAAACTGCACAAAACCTAGGAAGTCCCAGGAATGTGCCTTTGTAGCTGTTGTCAGTTAAGGCACATATCAAATGGTCCTCATGTAAATGTCTATGTGAGGGGTGATAAAAAGATGTTAGCAAAATTATTCAAACCCCACTTTTAGATTACTTATGTAAGGCAAGACAAGATGCTGGGAACTCTGAGAAAATACAACAAAGAATGTTTCCTATATTCCAGGAGCACAGATTCAATATCATAAAAGTAGTATCTTCAGACCTAGAAGTCCAAACAGGGGTGATGAAGGAAGGCATCCTGGAAAGATCTGTGAGCTCATCACAACCACACAGCATCGCTGTGGCCCCACACGGCACCGATAACTGCCCTAGCCTGAGGCTAAGAGAGCTATGACCACATGCTGGTTGTGCCACTTGCCAACTCCATGATCCCACATAATAAACCTGTCTAAGCCTCAAATTTTTCTTTCGAAAAATCAGTAACACGTCTTCCTTTTGTAAGAATACCTGAAAGCATATAAAATGCTTAGGATCATCCTGGACACAATGCTCACTGCTGTTAATTCATATTCTACACTTGCACTCCTTTCTTGCACTGTACTGTACTTGTGCTGTACTGTAATGCAGTACTGTGCTGTGCTGCATTACTCCCCGTTTCCCAAAGACCCTGGGGCATTTCCTTCCTTTGCTGCTGCTCTTTCCTCCACCTAAGATCTCTCAACAGCCTCAATTTCACTTTGCTGACATGCAACATACAAATACAGCGTCAAGTCCTTCACTCTGTCACTCTAGTTCACTGAAAACCCTTCCCACAGAAAAACTGAGGTGGGGGCAGGGGAAGAGAAGTAGCCTTTGGAGCACTGATCACAGTGTAATCCACTTATTTTCTAGGTATTTGTTTAACATCTGTCTTCTACATTACCCTGTAAATTTTGTAAAAGGGTCCATGTATGATTTATTCATTTTATATTCTCCATAATAGACAATGAGTTGGCATTGAATATTTGTTGAATAAACTAAATATGGAATAAGTAGACTAATAAACACATAAAGGAATAAGGCAAGGATGAAGATAACAAAAATTAGCTTTGTAGGAAACTTAAACTGATAATTGAGTGCTGAGAAAACTGAAGGGAAGATGTAAGAGACAGAACTAAAAAGTTTTAGGGTCAACTAAGTCTTTAGCAGTGAGAATGAAGATAAGAAGCAAAACCAATAGATATCTGAAGGAAGTTAGGAAAGGATCAGGTATCTGAATCCAATGAGTAAAAAATGTGTATCTCACTGGACTTCAAAAAGAACCCACTAGATAAAATTTGATAAAGGATAAAAAGAATATTAGGACAGGGAGCTCTTGAATTTACCTATAAGTGTGAGGAATTTGAAGGGTAGGTCGAAATGTACTGTAAATATGCAGTACTTGGTTAAATGTGGGCACGAATGCAGAGGTGATAGCTCAGGAATGAGGGCAACACGTCAAGTCCTGGGAGGGCTGCAAAGCTTCCACATTCTCTTTAGGAAAGAAGAGCCAAGGGAGCTGAGATAGTGAAGGGGGTAAAGGAGCCACCAAATGGTGGACACTCACTCTCCATAATTAATGAGATAGTCTGATAAGGCAGGGTCACAGAAGCCAAGAGGGGACATATAAAAATGAGGACTATTGGTCGGGTGCAGTGGCTTATGCCTGTAATCCAAGCACTCAGGAAGGCCGAGGCAGGAGGATCCCTAGAGCTCAGGAGTTGGAGACCAGCTTGAGAGAGTGTGCAAACCCATCTCTACTAAAAACAGAAAAAATTAGCCAGGCAACTAAAACTAGAAACAAACAAAGAAACAAAATAGCCAGGTGTGGTGGTGTGTGCCTGTAGTCCCAGCTACTCAAGAGGTTGAGGCAGCAGGATTACTTGAACCCAAGTGTTTGAGCTTGCTGTGAGCTATGCTGATGCCACAGCACTCTACCCAAAGTGACTGAGCAAGACCTGTCTATCTCAAAAAAAAAAAAAAAAAAAGAAAGAAAGAAAGAAAAAAAGATGAGGACCATGGACGATGTCCAGTGGAGTTAAGAATGGATGTGACCTCTCTGACTTGTTTACTGAAAGCCACGTGTGAAACTTAAAAGAGAAGTTTCCCTAAAGTGGTAGGGGAAGAAAGCAGGAAACAAAAGGTTGAAGTAAGAGTTGATGGTGAAATGGTGAAGGTAGCAAAGTGACCCACATTTACCAGGAGTTGGCTTGAGAGAAAAGAGAAAGTTTGTTAGGATAATCAACATCAAACTCTTGCTTCAAACCTCAAATATCTCAAATAAAGATGTCTCCACAGAGGAAACCAAGATTGGAGAGCAGATAACTAATAAAGGACGAAGGACATAAGGGCCTCTTGTCTGGATTAATATGGAAAAAAAGAAAGTTATACCTTTCTACTTAACTACAGAAAAAAAGGAAAATCAGTGAAAATACAGAGAAATTAGAGGTGAAGAAGTGAGAAACTCAAAGAAGCTGGAGTCAGTTCATTGACCTTGATATGCTCAGGGAGTTGGGCCAAGAAGCAAAGTCATGAGTTGCAAGTGTGGGGGGGAAACTGAAAAGCAACAGCAGCATGCAGACAGCTGGAAAAGAATCACTGGTCAACCACACATGGGGTGTAAAGACAATATTTGTTGCTTACAGTTAAGATTTTTAGGAAAATCATGATAGTTACTATACCAGGCTTCAAAGAGGACAGGTGGAAACATTTTAAAAACTACTCTTTTTCAATAGCCTATAAGATTTGTTTACGTCAATTTTTTTTGTACAATTAGAAAATGTACATATCTTCAAATAGCAATTTATACAAAATGAGAATAAAGCCAACCTAAGAAAATGTACCAAATATTTCCAAAAATTTCAATAACTTCTACTCTTTCAACTTGGTATTTAAACACCCTCAAGGTGCATAGTTGCAACTAATAATAAGGATCTGAAATAATCACCCAAATATTACTCTCTTGGTTATTCCCTAAAGGATGCATTTGTTGAGCAGGGAAATGTATCAACTGGAGAGTCTATTATAGGAGAAGTGAAGCTATCTCTTCTATGCTAGTACACCTGCTGCCACTGGACTGAAAGGGCCATCTCTCCTGTAAACTGAGTTCTGAAAATCTCATCCTCCAGATATTATCTCACATTCACAGAAACTTAATTGGTGAAGAACAAGCTAGGATTATATGTGCCCCAAACTCTAGCAGTCTTGTGGTACTATAGGAATTAAAATATGTTTCTTGAGCCAAATATCCTTAGAAAGAAGAAATAACATTAATTAAATAGAGGTCTGCTTTAAAATCATCTTTATTTCTTTAAAATAAGTGATTAGAAATATTGTCAAAATGTGTGTATATTGAATTAGAAATATTGTCAAATGTGTGATAACATTGGTGAGATTATAAGAGTTGTATGTTCTCCTTTCACCTTATTTGTATTTTCTGATATTTAAACAGTGATCCAGTAGTCATAGAATTTTAAAATTACTAATGTCCCTGAAGAGAAATAAAATCTCACTCTGAATGTGCTTCCTTTCTTCCAAATACTAATGGAAAATAGATGAAGTAGAGGTACTTGTACTTCTGATAAAACAAAATGTGGCATTTCATACCTGTACTACTCCCTAATTTTATATGCTTAAATAATCAAATGCAAACCCAGTATACATCATGAAGTAAACAGCATCCTACCTCATCTTTAAGAACAGTAAAAACCAGTCTTTAAAAACAATGTATTTCAGCTAAAAATATTAGTTGATTAAATGGAAAACTATTCAAAGATGTTTTCAAACTTTTCTTTCAGCTGAATCTCTCACTAATACCACATGATTTTGTATAAAATAACATCAAACAAATGTTCTATCAGGAATAAGCTTTGGGTTGGGGAGGAAAAATGAGTATGCATGTGGATGAGGAAATTGTTAAAGGAACAAGGAAATTAGAAGCTTTTTCTCATTAATAACTATAACTGAATTGAAGTGCCTTTTCTGTAAGTCAAGAAAGTAGGGAACTGATTTAGTTAGATTTATACAGGAAACCTTTGTTCTACAATACCTTCTAGTTCACAATATGACTGATGAAAATTTAAGCTATATGTATAATAGTATTCTGCTTTGAAGTAAAACACCCAAGAATGGGATATCAGGTAATTTAATCACAATAGATAGCATTCTCTTTTGCTAAATACTCCATTGCCCAACAATCTGTTGTGTATCTAACCTAAATTTCTATACTCTGATGGATAAAGCCAATCTAGCAGATATAACTATACACTGCCTCAAAACACATGTCCTCAATCAAAATACTCATTAATGTCAAAATGACGTTTAGACATAAGTCATTAGGACTAAAACAACCTAAGAACTCATAAAATCCCCTAATTATAACATCTCTACCCCATGCCCAAACCTAATTCTCCAAGGATCTCAGGGTTTAGAGCAATCCCATTTGAAGCAAATATTTTCAGAAGAGTAGACTACCTTTAGCAGACTGTCAATAAAAAAAAATGTTATCAGAGATGGTTTGCAAATAGGTGAGTGGTAGTGAGTTAAAATCAGAGAAAAGACAAGTTAATGTAAGGAATGGAGTCTTTCTTTTATTTCTCAAATCCCTATTGATAGCCCTTCTAGGGATTTGGAAATATAAGTTCTCAATAAGGTAGTATGATTTTAAGTATTTTAAATTAGTTTTCCTTTAATAAAAAAGATTGACTTGTTGAAAATAACTGTGATTTTCTTTTAAATGCCTTGTTTCATCTGAGAATCTTAGAAACATATCATAAACATCCTTTCAAATTTACAATTTGGTGTAAAGGCAAGTATCACCCTTATTTTATTGAAAAAAGTACAGACATTCCACACATGATGATCATCTCTCACTCCTGGGTCTCAACGTAGGGAGGGAGCTGAGGAAAAGGTGAACCAGGGAAGATTCTCAGGTACAGAATAGTTACAAATGCAGGCTCTGGAACTAGACAGCTTGGGTTGGAATGACATCTCCATTGAACTCCACTGCTCTGATCCTCAGCTTCCCTCATCCAGAGAATGGGGATAATATAAGTATTTACTTAGGAGAGTAGTTGAGATAATGAGTTAATTAATAAATGACAATGTAAGAAATTATATATTGGCAATTATTATTATGAAGTATACCCAGCATAAAAGTTCTTTTAGAAAGTATAATTTTGAGGCTCTAATGAGTAATGAAAGTTAAGATTTGTTTACATTCTAATTTAACAATAAAAATAACTTTAGTACCAACTTTCCCCAGAGTTTAATATCAAACTAATCCCTCTAGATGATCAACACATAGGGATTATTATGCAACTGACAATTACAACTAAAGCGACTGAAATTCACAGGTTAATTTCAAATTGTTAAAGGCAACAAAATTATTATGTCCTTTTAAATCCATGGTCCTCAAATTATACTGTGCTGTACACCACATGGAAGGCACCTTAAAATACAGATGAGGGGTTAGAGCACCCCAGAGTTTCTGATTCTCTGGAGCTAAGTTGGTACCCAAGAATGTGCATTTCTAGCAAGTTCCCAGGTGATGCTGAGCTGCTGCTCTGCATTTTGCAAACAATTATAGAAGATATTTAGCATTTAAAGAGAGAGGCACACTCAAAACAACCAAAACATGTGTTCATGGTAAAGGAACCCATCTGAATGATTCTGCTGTTAACAGACGGATACCGCATGGGAGTGTGCACAGCAATATTTATAGAAAGGTAAAGCAGCAAAAAGTTTGGCCATTCCATTCATCTCGACCATATCCTTTGCCCTTTGGGTTTAAAAGTACAAGAACTGTATATAATAGCGCTACAAGGATGCATTAACTTAATGATATATTTTCCCAAAAACTCAAAGCTAGGTAAAAAGAAAGAAAAAAAAATGCTTGTTTATGTTTAAATTCTATTTAAGAAAAGCACAAAGGACACTTTATATAATAAGCCTGGAAATGGATACAACCACTTTTCTTTCCTAATGTAATTTTGAAATCTGATAATTTATAATAGGAGGAAACTGTTTCTCCTACAAAGGAGTTAATCAAACACAGATTTAAAATTATGACATTATTAACCAAGGAAAAAACAAAGGGCAAGAGACTTTAACATCCCCAACCAGCACACATTTTGAGTTAATGTAATTACTTGTTAGAAGGAAATATATCATCCAATGCTCAGAGTAATATGTTTTCAGGTAAATAACCATGTAAGAAAGCAAGCTTGCGACCTTCCCCAGGACACAGACTTGGAAGGCTTGATCTCAACTTGGATTTATCATTTGCATGGAAAATAACCAAAAGAACTCCAAGTTATAAATCATCAATTCTATGGCAGGTTTCAGTAAAAAGCCACAAGATTTTAAACTGCTTTTTAAAAGATGACTTCTCAGACACCTTCGCCCCATATTTACCAGGAAATAAAAGCAGAAGTCCTAAAAGCAGACAGATAGAAAGTCAGTGCCTGCATAGCTCTGAGGCCACAGTGTTTGAAGGTAATCTCTGATTGTGAAGCCCTTTCTTCCTGTTTCTCTTTTCTCCCTCTATTTCTCTCTAGAGCAGTCAAGACTTTACTGATGAAAACTCAGCAAATTCTCTATCACAAAGAGGTTTGGCAACTAAACTAAGACATTAAAAGGAAAATACCAGATGCCACTCTACAGGGTGCATTAACTACCACTTACTGGAGACATTTAAATCCTTCAGAATCAACAGAGTAACCAGGTAATGTTATATCTAGAAGTACTTGACAATTATATGTATTTACACTATGATATGTGTGTAAATTTTTACTGTTTTTCTTAAAATTGAAAGCCTTAAATAACAATATCAATGCAAGCACATATTTGGAATAAAAATTAAAATGCCAGTTGAAATAGTGGTGTCAGAGACAATCATTAAGTTTTTCATTAAGAAAAATTAAAGCATGGAAATAAAATACAAAGAATTTTACCTATTTTACTTATATTAAATGAAATTTAAATATCGATAGAGGAAGCTGAAATTCTTAATGTCAGGAATATTTGTTAAATAACTTATAATCTATGTAAAATGAGCATTCACAAAGCAGAATTTCCAAAACAGTCAAGGAATGAACGCATAAGAGCAAATAGCAGTAGCAAGAAAGGTTAAAATCAGTGATCTTGTGTCAATAAAATATTGAGTTTTGTTTAGTTTTTTAAAAAACAGCTAAACAGGTGGGAAGGTATGGAAAATTGAAGCCATACTGTGACAACATTTTCTTGTTTTACTTTTAATAATTAAGGATAGAAAAAAATAATTCCATTGACATTTTGGGAAAATTGTCATATTTAAATCTTTTACATGAAAATTATTTCTTTTTAATTTAGATGTTAGTACTTTCAACACTACTGTATTTAATTATAAGGAATAATATTTTATGTAGAATCAATTTCATTTGTCTTTAGTGGAATAAAAAGCTTACATATGTCATTTCAAATTTCAAGACTTAGATGCCAGATAGCATATTCAAGTCAATTGTTAGTTTTCTTTACAGTTTCCTGTTGTAAAGAATGAGGTTTTGCCCAGAATGTGGTTTTGATATTTTATTTTAGCTACCATTGTATACTTCCATAAACATAGAAAGTATGTGTGGATGTTGTAAGGAATGCCAACTAATAGCCATATATACACAAACTATATCCTTACTTTTTTACTACTTTAAAACTTTTACTGAATGATATTCAAGAAAAATGTATGTAACAACTTCAAACACACAGAGCAGAGTTGGAAATGAGATATACATGGGTTAAAATATTTGAAGCTAAATAATGAGTCTTTATGAGGCCAATATTTTAATGGATGACTGAGCAATATAGAAGCAGGAATATCTTCCGATTATAAAGGAAAATGTTTTGGCTACTTTTTTCTGATTCAGTATCTTATTCACGTAATAAATTTCCCAAGGGTGACTTACACAAATCTCTTTACTTTTTTGTTTACCTTAAAATTCTAATAGGCAATTATCAGTCATTTCTCCCTCAAATACTTTGATGGTACTAGAGTAAATGAAGCTCGGGAATAAGGATGGTTTAGGAAAAGTGACTGAATAGAAACTAAAAAAGCTAAAAGGCATGGAAGTGAAGCTGGAAAAGAGTGACGTATAGCCCAAATATTTCTCTTCTAGCTTTTACACACAAATATGCGTGGGCTCTAAGATTAAAATGTGCTTTAAGAAGCAAACATCAAATAAGAAATACAAAGTATCCACAACCTCACATAATGTACTTCAGACCACTTCATTTCTCTAGGGACAGAATATTTGCTGAGATGAAATATTTTGAGATTCAGTTTTCTGTGTTTCTACTAACTGCTACAATAAAGATCAGAAACCTCAATTTTTAGAGGCTGTGTCTAAAAAAAACTAATAGAGATAACAGCAAAATCAACTACCTCAGACTGAAAATAACTATACCCACCCTCCCTCCCTCTTCTAGGCAGCAAAGAAGAGATGCAAGCCTTGGACAACCTCACCTCTGTGCCTGGGAACGGCAGTCTGTGCACCAGAGACTACAAAATCACCCAGGTCCTCTTCCCACTGCTCTATACTGTTCTGTTTTTTGTTGGACTCATCACGAACAGCTTGGCAATGAGGATTTTCTTTCAAATCCGCAGCAAATCAAACTTTATTATTTTTCTTAAGAACACAGTCATTTCCGATCTTCTCATGATTCTAACTTTTCCATTTAAAATTCTCAGTGATGCCAAACTGGGGACAGGACCACTGAGAACCTTTGTGTGCCAAGTTACCTCTGTCATATTTTATTTCACGATGTATATCAGTATTTCATTCCTTGGATTGATAACTATGGATCGCTACCAGAAGACCACTAGGCCATTTAAAACGTCTAATCCCAGCAATCTCTTGGGGGCTAAGATTCTCTCTGTTGTCATCTGGGCATTCATGTTCTTACTCTCTTTGCCTAACATGATTCTGACCAACAGGAGGCCGAGAGACAAGAATGTGAAGAAATGCTCTTTCCTCAAATCAGAGTTTGGTCTGGTCTGGCATGAAATAGTCAATTACATCTGTCAAGTCATTTTCTGGATTAATTTTTTAATTGTCATTGTATGTTACACACTCATTACGAAAGAACTATACAAGTCATATGTAAGAACAAGGGGAGTAGGCAAAGTCCCCAGGAAAAAGGTGAATGTCAAAGTTTTCATTATCATTGCCGTATTCTTTATTTGTTTTGTTCCTTTCCATTTTGCCCGAATTCCTTACACCCTGAGCCAAACCCGGGATGTCTTTGACTGTGCTGCTGAAAATACTCTGTTCTACGTGAAGGAGAGCACTCTGTGGTTAACTTCCTTAAATGCATGCCTGGATCCATTCATCTATTTTTTCCTTTGCAAGTCCTTCAGAAATTCCTTGATAAGTATGGTGAAATGTCCCAGTTCTGCAACATCTTCATCCCAAGAAAATAGGAAAAAAGGACAGAATGGTGGCGACACAAGTGAAGAAACTCCAATGTAAACAAATTAATGGAGGAAATATTTCACTATGTTGGTGATCATAACTACTTAAAGGAAAGCACTATGTAAAAAATATTAACACTGACTAAGAAATAATGAAGTTAATAACTTGAAAAAGTAATAAAAGACTACAAAAATTTTTTATTTACTTTTCCAGTATTAAAAGCTACCTTTAAATGTAGAAAAATAATGTAGCCTGTAGCTATGTAGCAGCAAAACAAATTGTATCCAACTGCCATGCTGCATGCAAAACTACACAGAATTCATGGTGTACAGTTTTGCCAAAATGGGTAATCATATGATAATATCTACTGTAAAATACATCATTGATCACAATTTTATTTTTTGATAATCATCTAAGGATGAATGATCAACCTGATATAAACTTATCAAAAGTGATACTAAAGATATACATGCGTATGTATATATCTCCCTCTCTATATATCCCAGTCCCCTATATTGTGATACTACTTACAAAAACTTAGTGGCATAACAAATAATAATAAATACTAACTTGTAATTATTCGCAGAAACCTAAAGGGATTTAAACTAATTGAAATGGTATTTGATTAGACTGATTGAAGATTTGATTAGAAGATTTTATAAAAATCTTCATTAAGAAGATAGAGATTTAAAGAATATCTTTTCAATAAAGAGCAGAAATATCAAAGTCATTAAAGGAGAGTTATTTTTATGACATTCTAATACTAACATAAAAAGTATTCCCTAACACTAGAGAAACCGGTTTAGCTAATATTTTGACAACTTTAATAGATATAATACCATCATTGACTCCTTTATTAATTACCTTATAGAAAATAACTGCTACTTGTGTTAATGAATACTCTCCCTTAGTGAGAAAAATTAAATATCATTACAAAGTTGCATAGCCTAACTACTAAGAGGAAAGTGATTTAACTATTTGGAATTACCTGTTTGTGTTATAATATGAAAAATTTACATTAAACTCTAAATCACATTTTGTTGTAATTTCTTTGTTCAAAGATATTAGATACCATACCACCTCCCCATATATATCAAACATCAAAACCATTTAAAAAAGAATCACTGCCAACACTTTTATTACATGCTGTTGTACGGTCTCTTCTGAAGATGGCATCTCACCTCAATAAGATAACATGTAAATGACAAAATAAGCTGACATTATAAATCCCATTATATATACATGTCATGTACATTATAACATGTATGATTCCACACAAGCCATTATTTGATATTTTTAATATAAACAAAATATATAACACATGTGAAAGTTCACATCACTTATCTCAATTATTCATGATCCACAGAGGTGATTCTCAAACAGAAGGCGGCACAGATACCAATATCTAAATATTAAAATAATGCCAGAAGAAATAAAAAGCATGGGTTGTACTATAAAGAAGTTCATTGAACTTCAATAATAATCATTTTTATACAAACCCTCTACAATTTCTGCTGAGTTACATTTCAGTACAAAGCTGAACTCATTTAACTACCAAAATGGTATGTGTTCTCAAGTGGCCACATTTCCTTCTCTAGCACCACTGCAAGGGAACACTGAATGTCAGTGAAGATACATAGACCTTGATCAAAAAGATACATAATCTATGTACTGCTGGAACAAACAGCAGTAGCCATCTCTGCTGTATAGACTCAAAGGGTTCACTCTAATATCATATGCATACATTTGCATAAGCTATAAGAAAACCAGGAAGAGAATCTAGAGATCAACTAATCCAACCTTCTTATTTTGCATATGACAAAAATAAACGGAGATCCCCTCCCCTTCACACATCAAATCAGGAGTAGACAATAGATTGAAATTAATCACAACATGGTGCTACAGAGGTCAGATTCTGGGGTACAGCAGGGAAGACAAATACTACCTGAACAATCTTTCTCTTTGGACTATATTACAAGATGTACAATTTCCCATTTTTCCTATGTATGTAGACTTTTGGGACACCCTGTAATTCACTGAGATGGCAATTTCCACAAGAGAGAGAAAAAAATAAAAAATGCTAATGATATGATATTTTTATAACAACAATTGAAAAGTATTTGGAGTTACCTGTATTTTTAAGTATGCATATATAATAGGAAAATTTACATAAACTCTAAATCATACTTTGCTGGAATTTTTTTTATTCAAAAACATTAGACCATCATATACTCTTACAGCAAACATCAAATTGAATCCATTCAAGACAGTATTAGAGGTGTTTATGGAGTGCTCATTACACATAGAAAATGTCACTATCTCCAGCCTTGGCCATTTTAATATACATAATAACCCCTCATTTCACACTGCCTTTAAAAAAAAAAAAAAGTGAAGCCAAATTCTACAGACTCGGGGAGAGAAGCGAGAAGCTCAGAAGATGAGACAAAATAAAGTCTTGTCCATGGCCTTAGTGGCTTACAAGTCCTTAGCAGGCTGTTTACTGGCAGTTTCTCTCAGTGGTTTCTCACAGAAAAAGCCTAAAGCAGGTATGGGCAAACTGAAGCCCACAGGCCAAATCCCAACCCACTGCCTGTTTTCATACAGGTTGTAATCTAGGAATGCTTTAAATTTTTTTTTTATTTTGAATTGTTACAGGTACATAATAATTGGACACATTTACAAGAGTAAATGGCTACCAGAGTCTGGTAAAGTAGTGGGGAGGAGGGGATAAAGAGGGGATGGTTAATGGGCACAAAAATACTATTAGATATAGCAAATAAGATCTAGTATTCAGTAGCACAACAGGGTGATGACAGTTAATAATTTATTACATATTTCAAAGTAACTAGAAAGGCAGAATTGAAATGTTTCTAACACAAAGAAACGATAAATGCTTGAGGTGAGGGATATTCCAATTACTCTGATTTAATCATTAAACACTGCATTCTTCTATCAGAATATTGCACATGCCTTTTCAAATGTTTGTGAGAAAAAAATCAAAAGAATAAAATTTCATGAGTAGTGACATTTATATGAAATTCAAACATCAGCATCCATAAATAAGGTTTTATTGAAATACAACTCTGTCCATTTGTGTTTTTTGTATGGCTGCTTTTGTGCTACAACAACAGAGCTGAGTTGCTGTGATGGCACCTGCATGGCCTGCAAAACATAAGAATTTTCTAACTGGAAGATTGCCTAAGCCTGGATCCGTAATTTAAAAACAATAAGAAAAACTCTTTGCAGAAAAAGAACCCTTTCTTCATGCATCTAGGTGTTTCAGTAGCTTTGCACTGACTCAATCATCACACATTGTACACTTGTAGCTGTGGCTGATCACCATTGGTTGGCAATGCCCAAGGTGGGATTGCAATGCTGCCACTAGGAATTAAAATTTGGAAATACGCTTACTAATCAATAGCAACTGAGGAGACTGCTTTTTAAAAATAAGGAAAGAGCATGTAAAGTCAATTTCCAAAAGCAATACAAATGGTCAAAAATTTCAAAAGATACATACCATCTTTAATAAGCAAATAATTTTATATGTATATATCACACAGCTTTTTCATCCTGTAAGTTTCAGATTGAAAAGACTTTTAATGATACTGTTGGAGAACCCCACTATTGATGAGACTACAAATTGGTACAATCTCTCTACAAAACTATTTGAAAATATCATCCATTATTTTGACACATAACTTTTGATCCAGCAATACTACTTTTAGAAAACTTCCTACAAATATGCCAGAACAAATATTCAAAAATATATTGATACATATGTGCTCTACAGCATCAGTCCCCAACCTTTTGGGCACCAGGCACTGGTTTCATGGAAGATAATTTTTCCACAGACTTGGGGGGGGGGGATGGTGAGCAATGGGGAGCAGCTATAAATACAGATGAAGCTTCTTCCATTGCTCACCTACAGTTCGCCTCCTGCTGTGCAGCCCACTGCCTAACAGGGGTTGGGGACCACAGCTCTGTAGTATTGGTTGGGTTTTTTTGTTTGTTTGAGACAGAATGACACTTTGTTGCCCAGGCTAGAGTGCCATGGTGTCAGCCTTGCTAGTCAGCCTAGCTCACAGCAACCTCAAACTCCTGGCTCAAAAGATCCTTCTGCCTCAGCCTTCCGAGCAGCTGGGACTACAGGCATGTACCACCATGCCCGGCTAATTTTTTCTATTTTTAAGTTGCCTGGCTAATTTTTTTTTCTATTTTTGGTAGAGACAGGGTCTCACTCTTGCTCAGGCTGGTCTCCAACTCCTGAGCTCAAGTGATCTTCTCACCTCGGGCTCCCAGAGTGCTAGGATTACAGGCATGAGCAAGCCACTGCGCCTGCCTGGCCAGTATTGTTTTTCATAGAGAAAAATTGTAAACAAAGTAAATATCCATCAGAAACAACTAAACTGTAGTAAATTTATATAGTGTAACCAATTTTTAAAAGTTAGGTCAGTCTACATGTACTAACATGGAATGAAAGAAAGATCCAATATGCAAATAAATGTAAATATATGTTTATATATTTGTACACATATACATTGGTATGTACATATAAGGGGGATTAATTTTCACTTTGTACTATATATGTATTTGAGTTTTTAAACACATGGTTTCCTTTTGTAATAAAAAGTTTTAAACTAAATATTAAATATTTCAGGTAACAGTGAAATTATTGCCTGTTTCTAGTTACATGTGGAGATTTTCTAACATTGATTTTATTTTAAAAACAGATTGCTACATTTATTGATAAATTGCATAACTTATTTTAGATTACTACCACTTTTGATTAATCTAGTATGGAATTTTAAAACAATTTCACATAATGTGAGAAAGTACCATGGTATACTTTGATGGGAAATAAAAATCTTTTCTATGAGTATAGAAGTATAGGAGTTACCACTTCAACTTTCATCCCAAATGAAAGCAAAAACTTCATCATCTTTTTAGATATTATAGATATGGTACTGGTTAATCACATCAACAAGAACTCTTGGACTGTTAGCTTTGATCCAACTGAGAAATCCAAGAGGAACTACAATAAAAACAATAATTTATTCCCATTTGGCAGGATAATTTCAGTAACCTTTCACTGTATCTTCTTTGATTCTCTCTTTATTTTGTTTTCTCCTCTTCTTTTTTTTTTTTCTTTTTTTGAGACAAAGTCTCACTCAAACCTGCACAACTTACTATAACTCCAAATTCCTGGGTTGAAGCAATCCCTAAATTCCATGTATAATTTTTCAATTGGCTCAGAAGTCAGGGAAAAAAAGAAAGTAATAGTATGCATTGATTCTAAAACAATGCTAAATAACATGGGCACTCAAAACCACTGTTTTCTTTGAATATGCTACATTATGAAATGGTCCAATAACACTGACATTAAGACAGAGTCTAAGGAGCAGCAGAAGATTTTAAGATACCTTTTAGCAAGTCAGCATATAGAATTAGATGTACATGTGAAATTTTTTTTTTTTTTTGAGACAGGATCTCACTCTGTCACCTGGGTTAGAGTACACTGGATTCATCATAGATCACTTCAACCTTCAACTCCTGAGCTCAAGAGATTCTCCTCCCTCAGCCTCCCAGGTAAGCTGGGTTTATAGGCATGTGCCACCC